CAATTTTAAGTTAGTTCGATAATAGTAAAATTAGGGCAACGTTTAGCTACACAGAAGAATAATAGATGAGAAAAGATTAATAAGTTTTTGATGAAAGAATGCATATTGATAAGCTTACTCTTTTTACCTTTTTTATTATACAGTTGTTTCCTTTAGAGAATATGCTAGAGTAAGGAGTGAGCAAGACCCTTTTCCTTCTACTCGAGGAGTTGCATTGGACATAGAATTCTTTACATGACAACTTAAGTCTAATGAACATAGTGAGGTATGAAAGTTGGTTGTTGTAGATGTGTTGTCAAATTTCGATGATGATGAATTATTGGTGAGATCGTATTGGAATGACAAATAGAAAGGATTGTCAAAATGTGGAAGAATTTCAAACTTCCATTAAATTTTCAACATTTTATTGATTAAATGAGAATGTAATTGTATTAGTTGATTATATTCTTTTAGTTTTATAAATTCTATAGGTATGCTTTCAGTTTGACTTTATTTTTTCTTTTCAATAACATGGGAATCAGAACTTGTGCAACTCGAGCATTTTTGCTACAACAGTCATTGTAGTGTGTTATTATAGTTGTTTATCGAGCGATTATGGAAGGGACCGGGAAGTTCAACTCTCAACAGCTTGTCCAATACTTGCAACAACTAATTGAATATTAGGTTTGCGCAGATAATTTGACTATATACAGACACTTATACATGTTATGCTTACTAGAGCATAAGAGATTGACACAGTGGATTTGTTACGCTTTTGCAAGAATATGTTCGAACACTATCCAAGAAGACATGTAAGTATTTTTTTAATTTCTTATTTCCTTTTATTAAGACCCTAATTAAAATTTTATTTCTTTATTTCATATGGGTAGGGTTCCATTATTACTCCCAATAATCGTTTCAAAAAGTTGGTTGTTGGGAGGATTTTTCAAAAGTTGTGATGACAAACAGAAAGTACTATTTTAGACTCTCATATTATGACCAGAACTTCATAATTTTTACATATTTATCATCGTAATATATTGAATTTGCTTCATAATGACTCAAAGTGTGTTTTAGTAGCTCTAGGATTGCTTTTACTATTTTGAAGCACTCTTGGAAGTGATTCGTGTGTTTTCCGGGCATAATATCCTAGCGAACCACTTTGTACGTGTTGGGAGATATAACGACTCGAATGTTAGGAGCTAGAGTCGAGATTGGAGTAAAGTCGTAAAATGGTGTGGGAAATAGCTGCCCAATTACTAAATCGGCGACTTGGCCGCCATTTTAGGGGTCATCCAGAATACGCCCGATTCTTCCAAAATATATTTTGCATTATGGCTAAACTAGTGGAGACCTCTTGGGAGACGCGTTGAAGACCAACTTTCCTCCCCAGAAATCCTAACGAGAAGTATATATACTCTGCTAACAGAGTGACTCACTTGGACTTAGAGCGAAATTGACTTCGAAGGGCAAATCAGCGACAGAAATGACGGCCTAACCGCTGCTTTCTCTTTTTTGGACACCGATGTGAATGGATGTATGAGGAACTCGTTTCAACTTATGTACCCGCTGAAACTTGTCCCCATGGCTAGCTAGGTCCCTTTGTTGCGTTGGTTGGCGAACCCTAGAGGTGATTGATTATGTAATTAACATTCGATTTTGGCATATATGTGATTTGATTTCTTTATCTTTCTGTTTGAATCTTTCATTCGTTTTATTGTTAATGTGATTGTGTGTGTAATACGAGAACTAGTTCAAAGGTTATATCTTCGCACCCAACTTTGTGGGTAGATGAGACTGGACACGAGTATCCTACGATTGATCATCAATCAATCAAACTTCGCTAACTTTCTCAAAGGGGACATCTGTAGGGTCCTAATAAAGTTGCTTATTAGACCTGATGTTTACCACGCCATATGGTAGGAATAAACCTAATAAAGATAAAAATAGCTCATATGCTTCCATGATCGAGGTTGTGAGTCAAAGAAACTATAGGGAGAGCTTGCCTATGTAACACTTCATCCTCCTGCTTCCCCCACTCGTCCTTAGTTTAGATTTAGTTTTCCGCATTAATTTTACTTTCGTTTTTGTAAATCCAAGGGAAAATTCAACTACGGTGGCACCTCAACCTCCACATTTGCGTTTTGGAATCACCATAGAACTTATCCCTAACCACATGAGTAAGTGGTTGTGAGAGACTCTAGGTAAATACGATCATGATCTACGGACCAGGTAAATTTGGCTATTTATTACATTCGATCAAGTTTTAGCCAACAAAAACAATTCTTTTTGGACGTGTAAGAAATTAATACCTTGTTTTGAGTTCAGCTTGGTTATATGTGGCACTAATTTTTGGTTGACCTACTTGGAGAGAGGAACTCGACTATGGATGAGAATGTGGCAGGTTGGGGGTGGTTTTTCTAAATCATTCCATTTTCATTTTTAAATATTCAAACTCATACTCTCCCTTCAACCATTTTAATATGAATGCAATGCTTCTAATCTTAAAACATCCATTAATCCATAAGAAAATGTACAATAAATCCAAATCATTGATCTACAACTCCTACATATTCATTGAGCTGTAAATACCTAACATATATATAATCTTATTAAAAGGGAAAAAGAAGTGAAGGTATGAAGGGAGAACTCGGGGGGAAAAAATAAAGGTTTTGATTTGGGTGACCACTCAATTTACATGCAACTCTTTTTTTTAATTATCCATCTTTTCATTGTTAGGTTACAATTTGATCTCTCTTTTTTTTTTATATATATATGAAGAAGTATTCTTGGTGCGGCGGGTATGAGTATATGGCAGTTGAGTCTAAAACCATGCTCGTCTCATTCCCGTCAAACTTTTTGCAAGTTTTATCCATACCTGCCCCATACCCAGTCAATGCGAACATTCTCCATGTTGACTGGTCAGGAGTGATCGGGTACCCACAGTTGCGGGTTCGATTGCCGTCCCTAAACTTGACCCCTTATATGATTTATAAAAACAATGCAAAGAGATACTATTATGAACATGCGAACATAATTACTGAGAGAACGAATATTAGGAAACCGTTTAGATGGTGACGATTTAAAAATGAGCTATATGATCAACAATTACACTTCCAACACTAAAATGTTACATAATGAAGATTACAATTTACGTGTAATCGGATCGACCATCTACTATAATATATCGAAATTCATAATGGTGAGCAAAACAATTCATCAATATGACCCCGTGTATTCGATTACATGTTGGCACACATCTCCAATACAAGATCACTCTCTTTTATTCAATAACCTGATTAGTTCATATTATCCAAATCCATACCCGCAGGCATCAAACTATTCCTTATAGCCGCCATCGTTTTTATCCAAAATACCCAAAATTTTGGTATTACCGAAATGTGGTCATTCCAGTGCTCCTGGATACCTGGAAGCTATCATTTTGGAAAGGAATCGAATGCCAGCGGCCAGTTCGCAAGAGAAATCGCCGAAGTTTATATTCGATCCCCACCTCGATAAATAAATGAACTACACGATGAGAACAAAATGGAGCTCTCGTTCGATCGCATTTATATATGCGTATGCTTTCTTTCGGCGGCCAATTAATAACCTAGCTACCAATAATATTGTTGTACTACTACTATATTCAAAGCCAGCCAATGCCAATGAAGCTAAGCTATGAGACAGCTGCATTCTTCCTAGTGGTACAATGCTTTGGTGATATTCGTGTTGGAATGATAGCGCGAAACTAGAAAACTAGGTTTGAGATGGAATCGTGAACCATATTCACTTTCCTGAATAATATTTTTACCCTTTATAAAAATCTTGATTACAAAAAAAAAAAAAATAGAGAGCAAAACTATCACTATTTTAGGTTATAGACTTAAGATCGCTAAAACAAATTTAGAAATTTTTAGGAAGAAAGAAGAATGATTTTGATGGTATGTTGCATAAGCCGCCCCACATATATATTTATAGGGTCAAATTCCCACATTGTTTTTTGAAATGGTGGTCCTTATCCATGAAACATTGATATATGACAAGTTACAACAAAACATCCGACTAGTAAAAGTTACAAGAAAAAAAACACGTTTTTTCATATTCTATTTTTATTTCTTTTTAAATATACTCCGTGTCTATAATGCTTAATAGATATCTTTCAATAGATCCCATTTGAAGTCATTGATGAACTGATCGCTTACACGATTTCGAAAAAAATTTCCCATGTAGACCAAATTTGAAAAAAGCTTAGTTACAAGTTGCAACTGCTAAAATCAATACAAGTTTGAGAAACAAATTAGATCGATGTATATGATGGATTCACTTTTCTTTTCACCATTAACTAAACTAATTCATCAATTTCTTTTTAATCGAAAAAATAACTCATCATTCGGGACATTATGATAATAATTCTCAAAATACTAGGAGACCAAACTCATCGGGATAAAATCAAGCAAGAGCCTAGCTATAAGCTTCTCTTTGTCAAAAGAGCGTGCAACACACGCATTCTCCGGACTAAAATCAAACAAGTCATACAAGACAACAACCTAGTATTTTCCTCATCAAAGCGCGGTACACTACAAGAAAGCTTACTTTTAGAAACAAATAATTAGAAGCAATTGATATATTAGCGTCTAAAGATAAACATTTGAGACTATTACATTATTTGATCCTATAGGTAGAATTATTTGCTCCTGTATCAAAGTTTATTATTAATAATAAATATAAATGAAATCAAAATATGAGCTATAGAGTCAATTATTGTAATTGCTACTAAAATTATGCAGTTCATACCACTAAACCACATTTAGAGGCAAATTTAATTGCCACTAAACCCTATCATGGAAAACCTAACTGGCAGAGGCCATACTCCATAGTGCCCCCATGACCATAATTAACCCTTTGTGCCCGTCATCGTTTCCACTTCCCACTTCCCAGTGCTTTCTTTCGAAAATTAGTAAAGGAAGAAGAAAGAAGAGAGTTACAGACCTCTGCCTCCACCCACAGTAATCCACCCTCATCTACGCCTCTTCGCCGCCTCTAAATCTCCCACCGCCACCACACACAACTCTGTCCCTACCGCCTCCTCTCCATCTGGTGATGTTCGTTACTCCACAATGGCCTCCCGATTTGGCGATGCTGCCACCAGATCCAGTGCACCTTCCATCCTCAGCAACATTCAGCACCCAGTGAAAGGAATGGCAGAGGAAGCTAATTTTTCGCTCAGAGGGATCCATTGCTGCCCAACGTCGATTCCTAATGATATATCTAAAATCTCCAAGAACTGGTGGTTTAGTTCACAGTTTGTTTGTCGTGCCCTAGACTGTCAGATTTGTGCTGCTCTGACGGCTTTGTCATCCTTCCTGCATGTTCGAGACTTCAATTGCACTTTGCCTCCTCCCCTGCCCTCTATTGATAACCTTTAGTGAAGGTATCATCGTCCCTCGCCACTAAGATAACCAGATCTCGACCTCCTTCATTGTCGTTGTGTGTATGTGGACGAACTCAATGTTGTTGTTGTTTCCTTTCCCTCGGGTTTTGATTGAAAGTTGTAGTTGTGGATTCAGCGAAGGAGGTTGTGGCTATTTTTTTGGATAGTCGGAGATTTAGAATCATCTTCGTCCTAGTGAAGATTGGGTCCGCTGTAGATCCGGTTTGAAATGACAAAGGATGAGCTCAAGGTAGAAGTAGCCATAGAGGAGCATCTTCTTAGCGATGCTCAGTCTTGATATTTCTTGAGGCCAAAGGATGCTCGTATTTGATGCGTTGAGATTGAGGTGGAGAAGAAAGGAGGAGGAAATGAGTTGTGGGTCTGCAATTGTTCATTGCTTGGATATTGCATTTGAATTTGACGGTTTGCAACTAGCACTATATTCAATCAGGTATAGTATTCTTCGACATGAATTGGTTTTTAAAGCATTTACCTTGATGTTGTATTGGTTATGGGAATGATTGTTGATAAGATTCTAGCTTTAGGTTGCATAATTTATTGTTCTTTAGTAAAGCAAAAGAATGAGCATTTCTGAAATACAGGTTATAAAAAAGCACTTGGTAGGACTAGATTCGGGAAGAGTATGTGAGTTATTGAAGGAATGTCGCTAGTCTTAGTTATGTCGTGGCTGATAAGAATTCAGAGTTTTCACCCGAAGGCCATAGAGATTAAACTCGTGCTAAAAGGTAGACTTATGCATTTTTTTGCCAGATTACTATGACGAACATGTATTTCATCTGCCTTGGTCATACAATTGAGCCGATTTGTTTTCTGCAACAGGCAAAACAACCAGGTTTAGATGTCGGCGGTAAGGATTATGTGGGTCACTATAGGATTGCTTAGAAGCTGGATTCATCCCCAAAAAACTCATAAGCTGAGGCCAGAGCTAGTAAGTTCGTTCATGTTTAGTTTGGAATCTTGATGTACTACAATGTTTTCATACCTCTAATGTTGGTAATACCCTGCAGCCTAGGAAGCTTATGTATGTGCAGCCAGTCCAGACAACAACAAAGAAGGAGCTGAAGAAAATGGATGGATAAGAAGGTTGTTGCTTTGAGGAGGTGGTAGACGTTGAGGATGGAAGTGGGGATGTGCTATATTACAAAGTTTACGGCTTCTCTGCATATTAGAGTTCTTGTGGGCTGTGGCCTTTGCTCCACTAAAAGAATCCATGGTTTCGGTGTTTATGTCGTTTCTCGTCCTTGGATTGTATTAGTTTTTTTTTTGTCTGTACTCTATGTAGTCATTTTTTTGACAAAGTTGTACTAGTGGTCATTGAGTATATACATATGTAAGAAACTTTCCTTTCTCATTAAATACTAGCACATTTCTTTTCATCAAAGTTTTATTGGTATAATAAAATATAGTAATTTTAAACGATATTAATAGAAAAATAACCCCCAAAAAAGTTAAATACCAACAAATTTATTTGTCTCGAAATGTATGATCTATGTCTCCATTAGGCTCTTTACAAATAAATAAAGTTCTCTAAAAAACTAGAATGGCAAACAGTTTCATTTATCTCTAAAAGTAAATAAAGGAGCAAATATAGTTGTCTCAAAAACTAGAATGAAAAACAATTACATTTATCTCTAAAAAAAATAAAGGAGCTAACTTATGGGTTTTAATAATATAATAATTTGTATCCAATAAATTTGCATCCAATTCCTTAATATGTAGCAGATATTATTTGTTTCTACATTTGCGTCTAAAAGAAATTAGAGATAGAGGCGTCCGATGCAAATAACATATCTGCTTCAATAGATATACAGAAATAAATAAATGTCATTTAGAAACAAATAACCTCTGTCTCTAAAGCCTAGTTTTGTTGTAGTGGTAGTTAAGCTCCTGGAGGTGCATATGCTCCAGAACGTAGTAAAGCAAACAAATGCAAACTTAGTCAATTGGATCACATGCATAGTAGGCTCCGCCGAGTAATTGGTATTCCATAAGCCTATCCATCCATGTCAAACATTTTCCTTGGCGTTGGCTAGCTAGGTCATAGGATGTGGAGTTATGTTTTGGCGTTGGCGAGTGGGGTTTTGGCTAGATCCGTCATTAAATACGTACAGAGCGCCCAGTCTATCTAAATTTACTGATCAGATCCCATTTGGTTTGGCTGCATGGCGTACGTTACAACCTGCTTTTAACCTTTTCCTTTCGTTTTCTCCCTCCCTTCTCCTTCTCCTTCTCCTTCTCCTCCTTCATTCTCCTTCTTCTTCTTCTGGCCTGCCTGATCCAGTATTTTCTTAATTATCAGCCTAACCATCTGTACCGCGCATAACCACAGAGATTAAAGTACTGCTGATTACGCCTAATTGTTCTCATGGGAGGAGCGTTCAAAGCGAACCGAGTGGTTTACAAGGCGGCGAGTAGCATCGACGTGACTCGTCGTCTTCCCGCGAATTCCGACGACGACGAAGAAGAAGATCAATCTTATCTTCATCCCGATGTCAAAGGTCTGCTGCTTATTAGTTCTCCTCTTTTCTTTTACTAATCACGATTAGGCAAGCGTACGCCTCCTTTTGTTTAGTAATTTTACATCCGTAATTAGGTAGCTATAGTGATTTATTAATTGTGATTATTTTGAATGATTAATGAATGAATTACAGCTCCGCGGATGGGTGGAGTGGTGGTGAAAGTGTTCGCGTGGTTTCTGGAGTCACGGATTTTGGGCACCTTGCTGCTTTACCTCCTCAAGAGAAACAATCTCATCCACAAGGTACACGCACCTAACCCCCAAATTTAATTAAACTTCGATATATCTAACTTTTTTTTTCTCCTTCTAATTAATATGGGTTAGTTGGTAAAGCATACAATTTAATGAGAATGGACGATAATCAGTGGTGTGGCCAGATTATGAGTTGATGACGGAAGTCTTTCAAAAATGATTGATTCTGAAACCTATGTATTTGATGATGGACTTTGAGTTGATTGGGATCGTTACGTATAATTAGCAATGTCGAGAGTATTAGGGTCATAAATTTGGAGAAATCCTACGTATCTAACGAACCTTTTGCCCTATTGTTTTCCCAAGTGGGGTCCTCTGACCCCTGTCCAGTCCTCAACCTATTTCTCCGCCACCGATGGTGGCTCATGTTTTTGAAGTGAGATCATAAGATCGAATTCACATAATGTTAAAACTATAGCGTTTCATCTGCAACATATTGTGATCTTAGATCTCGTATAAGTAGATGAATTGTTGAATACTGGCGACATATGCAAACATTTACCATGAGATTAATACATGAGATGCGAAAAAAAGACATGATATTCATAGAAAACATTACGATAAGAGCGAAAAAACGATATATTGAAGAATAGATGTATTTTGGAGGCTGACTACCAATTTGCCAAAAAGATCCAATTCTGTGATTTTGGGGGGTGGAATGTGAAGTGGTTTAGCGGTGTGTCACTATTGTTGGGAGTCTCCATTAATTGCGTTATTTATTAACATTTGTATGCATTTAGGTAGTAGTCGCTCTCTAACCTCTAACAATAGATATGGACAACAATACGGTTATAGACTCATCCATACAGATTTATGAATTATTATAAGAATTTTATGCAATAATAGTGGTTTTCCTCTTGCATGTGTGTCCAAATCTTTCACCATAAAGAAACTTATTAGCCATAGTACCATACTTTTGCAGACTACGAAGCTGGTCAAAATTATTTACACCAAATTGTGCCAAACTCTATATGTACCCGAGAAAGAAAAAAAATATTTAGACCAACCACATTAATGTAAACGGTACTTGGAGTTCTTTCACATTTACTACTGTATATTCCGCCCAATTAATTAGCGATGACAAAAATAACATGATGTTCCTGTTCGAATCGGGTTCTAATAGAGCAAAATTTGAATTCGAAGGATTTTTTATGGGTATGGGTAAAATTCAAATTCGAATATTGCAGATGATGAGTGAGCATAATTTTCACACAATCCAACCGAACCTGTCCAATTATACACATGTATATGTATTTTCTTTAGAATGATCATTATTTTTCTCAACATATTTTATATTTATTATACACAATAATATTTTCATGAATTTTGTTGTTTTAAATTCTTTTTTTGTTCTAGTATTTTATTATTTTATATTTTCACTTAGCTTATATAATGTATACATGTAACTGTTAACATGTTGGTTGAAGTTATAAAAAAAATCATTATCCATTAATAATCGTAGATACCAAAAAATTCGAGAATATGAGTATGATTTTGATATTCTATCTAATTCTCGTGTTAGTGTAAAAATGAGTAAATCCCAAACTATTTTAAATAGAAATGTGAATATTCACGGTCTGTTTCCAACTCGATCCGATCTCATCCCTTATATTAATCCATATATCTCAAGAGGCTAGTACAAAAGAAAGCACCGAACTTTTACATGGTATTGAAGAGATATTTCATATTTGTGAGGAAGGGAGGCTCACCTTGAAATTTAAACATGAGACCTTCATAATGAAAATCAACAATTGGCAAAGAGCCATAGTCAGGATCCATAATCTTACTATTTATTAACCGGTCCAAACCAAAATTGGACCAAACCGTTCTGGTCTAGTTCGGCTATAATCCAGAGAACAAAATGGCTCAATTTACCTAAAAAACGGTGTTGTTTAACTCAAATTAAATTAAATGAAATTTTAAAAATCAACTAAAAACAATCCTCAATCCACAGCCCCTCCTAATTCAATTCCACAATCCCTAATTCTCTTCCATCATCTTTTCACGGCTCCCATCCTCCGTCAACCCTCTCCGGAAGCTGCTTCCATCATGTCTCTCTCTGTTATATATAAATAAATAAATTATGAATCCAAATTAATAAAAATAGAAAATCTAGAATTGTTAATTATTAAATGCATCGATGTCCAGTACAAATGCCTCACATCTCAACATGACTTGTTTAATATTGCATGTAACTCATTTCTCCTTAGTCCTAAATCGATAGTGTGACAGATGTGCACATCATCAAATATCCAAAAACACTAATAAATATGTACACATGTATATATTTAGATACATACATTTTGTGCACGACAACATGCTATCATGTGGACGTGTATGTATCTATGTACGTTAAATTAACACGTGTCCGCCTACGCATATTCCGTGGTTAGCTTGTGACAAATGCAGAGCTGGAAGAGTCGCCTCTTTATGTCCCTCTGCATCCTTTTCAAGGTTACCTTCCTTTCCCTTTTATCACCTCCTGATCTACTGCTTAATGAATTACTGTATATCTCTTAATTTCTAAGTCTTAATATATGTTTACGCAGAGTTGGAGGAGCAAGAAGTGAAGCAAATTGAGTCATCAGATCCCGCAAGTCAGGTCCAACAAGCAGTTGAGAATTGCCTACAGCCTTTGTCATCACCAAATTGCTCCACTACTTCACCTAGTTTCCATCGGTGGACCGTCATGGACTACTATAACGCATATACTACTCGACAGATTACTCCCACCATGGTAATTAATTCATCCTACGTATAAGGCCTACCCACTAAGATAATTGAGTGCAATCCCTAATTTTATACCCAAATCCATAAGATCGGTTTAATAAAAAAAATATAAAATTTTGATTCGTCTAAATACATAAAAAGTACATTTAAGAATTTGATATAGTTTTGTGGCTGGGTGACGATTAATTGTTGTGAGAAATGCGTGTAGGTGGCAGAAAGGTTAATAGCAGCCATTGAAGAAAGTTCAAGTGCGCCATGGAATATGGGATTCTTTATTAATCACTGCCCAAAAGACATCCTCAAACAAGTCTCGGAATCAACTCTTCGATATGAAAGAGGTACGTACGTTTATCACTGACTTAAATTTGTACATATTTGTTGATAGAACAGATACAGTATAATGATGATGAAATCAACAGATAATCAAACACATACACCGGAGTTACGTGGTATCCCTGTATATGATCCAGGACTAATCCACGGAAGAGATTAAACGCTCTTCAGGCTATTAATTTTACTGAATTGTGCAAAGAGAAAGAAGATACAGAATGCTCAGCCGCCAAACCACCTCTACCCTTTTTAACTCCTAACGTGCCCTAGGTTAGACTCAACATTCTACCTCTAACCGTGCATGAGCCTGCATGATTACGTACGGACTTATTAGCTGGGCCACGTACAATCTAACTCTCCTAACATAAGACATAAACCGTAGCCTAATACATATATGCTCAATATCCTCCCCCAAATTGATGTCGAGTTCGCAGCATCAATTTTCCCCCAAGATACCAATGCAGACTTGTGGGAAAGGCCTTTGTAAAAAGATCTGCAACCTGTTCTTTTGTCTGTAGATGAAGTAAGCTGACAGTACCGTCTCGAACAAGATCACGAATGTAGTGCACATGGATCTCAATATGCTTCGTATGATCATGAAGAACAAGATTAGTTGCTATACGAATAGCACTAGTGTTGTCAACATGTAGTTCCATAGGTGAAGGACAGGAGATGCCAAAATCTGATAAGAGGCGACGCAGCCAAACCATTTCTGACCCAACCTCGGACATAGCCCGATATTCAGCTTCAGTAGAAGATTTTGAAACTTTATCCTGCTTCTTGCAACGCCACGAAATATAAGCCCCACCAAACTGGACACACCATCCAGAAGTAGATCAATGTGTATCAAGACACCCGGCGTATCCGAATCTGAGTAAGCATAAAGCTTAGCTGAGCCTGAAGAAGGAAAAAGAATGTCGACCTCTCTTGTTCCCTGTAAGTACCGTAGTATCCTGTGGACTGCAGCAAGATGATCTACACAAGGTTCGGCCATGAATTAACTGGCCAGCTGAACTGCATACGAGATATCAGGGCGATTAGCAGATAGATAAATAAGACTGCCAACTATACTTCGATACTGTGAGCCATCCTTCAAACGTTCACGTGAGTTTTTCTTGCAACTTCAAATTCACTTCCATAGGCGTCCTAACAGGCTTACAGTCATCAAAGTTATGATCACTAAGTAGATCTGATATATATTTCCTCTGACTGAGCAAAATACCCTGATCATTCCGGCTAACCTCCAGTCCAAGAAAGTAATTCAAATTGCCGAGATCCTTTATACTAAAGTCTTTCTTCAAACCATCCTTCAAATGTCGAATTCCTTGCTGATCAGTCCCAGTAATGACCATGTCATCAACATACAAAAGAAGCACCATGAGACCAGCTGAAGTTACCTTGGTAAATAGTGAAGGATCATTTAGGCTTTGTTGAAATCCTAGTTGAACGATGGTAGACTGGAACTTCTCAAACCAGGTCCAAGGATCCTGCTTAAGTCCGTAAAGAGAACGATGCAGGAGGCACACTTGATCTTCTCTACCAAAAGTATAGCCATGAGGTCGTTCCATGTATATCACCTCCTCCAAATCCCCATGAAGAAAGGCATTCTTCACGTCAAGTTGAAACAGGGGTCAATTCTACAATACAGCTACAGCGAGTTAGGTACGAACCGTGGACATCTTAGCAACATGAGCAAAAGTCTCGTTGTAATCCACCCCATGCTCTTGTGTATAGCCAAGAGCAACAAGCCTAGCTCGGTGGCGTTCGATAGAACCGTTAGGTCGCACCTTGATGGCATAAATCCATCGACTGCCAATAGTAGGAGGACAGGGATTGGGACGATCAACAACCGTCCAAGTTTTATTTGCCTCCAATGCACCAAACTCGTCGTTCATGGCGCTGTACCATATAGGATTGTCGTGGGATTGTTTGAAGATGGTGGGAACAATTAATGTATCCACCCATGCGGTACGTAATCTTGGTGGGCTAAAGGAGGCACCCCTTTAGTTAATCTCTCTGACCGCCGAGGAGGAGCAGGAGCACTATGCGAAGGAGAGCCATGAGGAGATTAGTCGGGGCTGCTGGAGGCCGACGCAGGTGCCGAGGAGGAGCTGTCTGAGCTGGACGTGGGGGAGAGAAGTTCGGGAGAGGTGGAATCTTCAACAAGATCATTAGATAATGGCAAATCAACCTCTTCAGTTTCATCAAAATGGGCAGCGAATTGTGCTCGCCAGGAAACTCGAGTTCAGCTATGGATTTTGAAGGATAGAACATGTGATGCTCGAAGAAGACAACAGAAATAGCTATCCGCATACGTTGACTCGAAGGATCGTAACATAGATACCCTTTATGAACACTACTGTACCCAAGAAAAACACACCGTGCCGTTTTGGAAGTCAACTTAGTACGTTCACGCTTAGGAAGAAGTACAAAACACAGACAACCAAAAACTCTAAGACGAGAATAATCAGGATGATGACCATAAAGAACGAAATAAGGACTTTTCTGGCTTAGGACAAGAGTGTCTTGGTAATTTATTAATCTCACAACAGTGACTACAGCTTCCGGCCAAAACCTACTAGGAACAGAAGAAGCAAGAAGTAAAGCTCTAGTTAACTGCATCACATGCCTATTCTTACGCTCAACCAGTCCATTTTGTTGAGAAACCCCAGGACAGGACATTTGACTCAAGATACCACGTGATCGATAAACCTCATGTAAATGATTTGAGCTAAATTCTCCTCCTGGATCAGAACAGATGATTTTAACTGTCTGGTCGAATTGAGTTTGAATCATATTGATGAATTTTATTGCCACATCTCGAAGATCAGATTTTAATCTAAGAAAGTATATCCATGTATATCTGGTGGCATGATCAATGAATAGAGCAAAATATCTAAACCCAAGGCGAGAAACAGTCGAGGAAGGTCCCCACAGATCGGTGTGAATAATGCGAAAAGGTTCATTGATAACAGTGGTACTAGAAGGAAAAGATGAGCTAGAGGTTTTCGCTTCCACACAACTCGTACAAGAATGTTGAGCAGAAATTCCAACAAGATTCTTTCCTAGAAGAGATTGTTTAAACATGACTGCCAGACGACTTGAGTGGGGATGCCCCAAACGAGCATGCCAAAGTTCCCACTCTTTATTGGACAAACTAGTAAACACATAATGTTTTTGAATAGGAAATGAAGGACTAATGACATTCCTAGACTCAAACTGACTACTAGAAGGCTGACCCAAAGATGATGATGAAACCGAATTGTCTTTGAGTTCTTCCAAGTGCAAAATCCTCCCCTGTTTACTCCCCCTTCCGATCTGCCTCCCCGTCTTCAAGTCATATATAACACAACCAGTAGGAGCAAAAATAACAGAACATCCTTGCTCAGTAAGCTGGCCAACTGAAACCAAGTTAGGAACCAAAGTAGGAACATACAAAGTACGTGACAAGGATACGTTCTCAGTATCCACTTTACCAATTCCTTTTACTGCCATCCTATCTCCATTAGCAACGGTCAAACCCACATGACCAATATATTTAATTTTTATAATGATTTTCTATCATTAGTCATGTGATTATAGCATCCCGAATCAAGTAACAAAGGCTTAGTTTGGACCTTACCTTGGAGAGAAGATAAAGCCGATCCAATGGCAGTAGGGAGGGAGGTTTGAAGTGCTTTCACAGCATGAACTAGTTGCTCCAATTGAGCTGCCGTGATATTCCCAACTGAGCCACTAGATTCCCCGGATTCAACAGTATAAGTAGTGTGATGTGGTCGGCCTTGATAGCCACGACCAGATCCATTAGGCGGGAGATTCACTTGATAACCACGACCAGCATTACGCTCACGAGTGCGACATTCCAGAACTACTTATGTTGTTGCAATAAACACAGTAAACACAGTAATTCCTTCTACGACAATGTTTTACCAGATGACCTTTCTCATGACAGTGATGGCACTCAAGCTCGGAATTTGGATCTCGACTATGAAATTGTGGCCTTGTAACAGCTAGAGCATGCGAATTGAAACCCATACCTGATCTCACAACAGAGATAGCAAAAGTCTCCCCTTCTCCTGGACGCACATCCAACTGTGCCTGAGTCCTCAACCGTGTTTCTTCTCGTACAAGAATGCTGACCACGCCATCAAAATTGAGGCGTTCCTGGTTCAGGATATTGGCGCAGATGTTTTCAAACTTGGGTCTCAGCCTCATGAGGAATTGCATCACCCGTGATTGCTGGCGCTCGGCGATCATCTCTTCAGTCATGGTTTGAGGACGTAAAGCGATATGGAGCATATCTTGCTCAGTCCATAATTCTTGGGCTGCATTAAAATATTCTGAGATGGATTGGTCCCCTTGAGACAGGCGAGGAAGAGATGTTTCAACCTCAAATTGCCGAGCTGCATTTGTAGTTGAATAGAGACCAGCAAGGTGTCTCCACATCCGATCAGTAGTAGGAAATAATCAGTAGAAGTCAACCAAGAACGGATCTGTGCGTCGTTCTGAACCCATAGAACGATTTCTTGTGGCGTGGCAGTCCCCCCAGCAGGCTTTGGCACTGTGCCATCCAAGATTCCTATCAATCCCTTTCTTTCAACAAAAACCCGAAATTGATATTCCCATAAAGCATAGTTCGTGGCTGTGAGGCGCACTGTTGGCCTCTCCGAATCAGCTGCAGTCAGCTCTGATACCATGTTGATAGAACAGAAACAGTATAATGACGATGAAATGAACAGATAATCAAACACAGACACCGGAGTTACGTGGTATCCCTGGATATGATCCAGGACTAATCCACAGAAGAGCTATCACGCTCTTCAGGCTACTGATTTTACTGAATTGTGCAAAGAGGAAGAAGATACAGAATGCTCAGCCGCCAAACCACCTTTACCCTTTTTAACTCCTTCGTGCCCTAGGTTAGACTCAACATTCTACCTCTAACCATGCATGGGCCTGCATGATTATGTAAGGACTTATTAGCTGGGCCACGTACAATCTAACTCTCCTAACACAAGACATAAACCGTAGCCCAATACATATATGCTCAATAATATTATGATAACAAGGTTCCAATATGAATTCTTCATAAGAAAAAAAAATTAATTGTGTTTTTTGTTTTGTTTGATAGGAGAGGCAATATCAGTTCTCGATGGTGTCCCCATTGCCGTTAAAGATGAGATTGACTGTGCTCCCTATCCCACAACTGGTAAATAATTAATTACCGGGATATATATATGATCAGTAATGGTGATTAATGTAATTGACAAACTATGCATTATAACGAAATAGGAGGAACAAAGTGGCTACACAAAGCAAGAGCAAGTGAAGGTGACGCGGAATGTGTAGCGAGGCTGCGACAATGTGGGGCGATTCTCGTTGGCAAAACTAACATGCACGAGCTTGGAGCTGGGACCAGTGGCATTAATCCCCATTATGGGTACGTACAGATTATACATATTTTCCTAATATTATCATATATCTGAAGTTACTATGGCTTGATCGATGGTATTCGGAGGAATTTGACAATACTATATAGTATTGGTGCTATAGGTTTTTGCCTTTATGGTACAATTTGAAATTGTACATTTAACCTTATGATACAACTTCAGATTGTACATATACTTTTTGTACAAATTTTTTTATTGTACAACTTGAACTTGTACCTTTATGCGATGGTACAACTTCAAGTTATAAAGTTGTACGTTATGGTACAACTTCAAGTTGTACATTAAAACACCAATGCTATATAGCATAGTAGAAGTGCTCGATGTATTTGTTGCTGTTGAGTTGTACGTTATGAGGTAATTAATTAATGATAATGAATAAATTGCAGGGCTACTAGAAATCCGTTCGATGTAGGGAAGATTGCTGGAGGTTCATCCAGCGGATCGGCGGCAGTGGTGGCTGCGGGGCTTTGCCCTGCCGCCCTAGGTGTTGATGGTGGAGGTATACTTTTACGTTACCACATTTCTACATTATTAATTAACTTAATTAATTGATTGATTACATATTAATTAACTCGTACGTTACGTTTTTGTGGGATCGATAATGTTGATATATATGTATGTATGTGTAACTAATGTAGGATCTGTAAGAATGCCTGCAGCACTGTGTGGCGTTGTTGGTTTCAAACCCACATTTGGCCGCGTACCACACTCCGGGTATATATATATCAACTCTCGTGTCTGAATATAAATGCGCACATTTTCCATTGTTTAGGAAACAGTACCGGAGGTTATATCGGACAAGTTTGTGGTATGGTATTTTATGGTACGACCGTGGTTCAACCGTTTTATACCGGTCGAATATTATTTTTTAATAAAAAAATATATTTTTGTTAAAATACCGTACCGGAAAAATAGACTACCGTACCGAAGTAATACCAGAACTCTACTGGTAAAATACCGGACAATAAATAGTAAAATACTAAATAATCATAAAATAACAAACAAACTAGTATTGAATTAGATAAATTATCATACAACATCTAATAATCACATCATCATCCAATAGCATATTGACGTTTAATTGGTGTGGGATTTATGGATGAAGCTTAATTTTAAATATAACTTAATGAATGAATTAGATTGATGAGAAATAGGCAGTTGTCTAATTACTTAATTTAAAATAAAACTGAATTAAGAGATATACACGTAGCAGTAGCCAAGTTGACACAACAAAGGAACATTATATTACATTATAAAATATGTGGTGGCAGATGAAGTAATTTTGTTAAAAAAAAGGGTTGATTATTATATTCTGTGAGATATATAAAGAATGAAAGGGATACCAAACCCAAGGCGCCCGTGCCGCTCACTTTCCTTTCACTCTGCAACCCTTCTCTCCCACTCTTCCCATTCTGAAAAATGAACCGAACAAAATCATATTCCCCAAAATTCATTCTATCCAATTTTATTTTGCCCCTCTCTAAAAAACGATAAACGATCGAGGAATGGAGGAATAACATAACTTTTTCTCCTCTTTCTTCCTTGCTTCACCTACCTCCTCTATGTTCGGCCTGTTTTCTCGATCTACTCCCTCTGTCTCGTGTCGCCGGTGAGAAATCGATCAAGGTCGACCAAAAGCACCGATCTAGCTAAGTTTGTTCGAGGAGGGGAGGCAGGGAACGAGAATGGAGATGGGGCGGGTTACAATAGAAGCAGAGACTTAGGTTTTGGGAATTGCTATGAAAGAAAGGACGTCGTTTTTTGTATAATTTAAATGAGTTAAACGGGCACGTTTTCGTTCCAATAAGTGTATCACCGGTTAGAACGAAACCGGATGGTATTTCGGATTGTGTCGGTTCAGTCGAAAAAACCGGCCGGTACTGTAAAACGACCACCATTAGACTACCGTATCGCTTTTGGTCCGGTTTCCGTTTTTTCCGGTTAAACCGGCCGGTACGATCCGGTTTCCTGGTCCATGACATTTTCACACATTATTATCGGACCAAGTTTGACGATTATTCCTTTGTTATAATTAAGTTCGACGATTGTTTTTTATTTATTTTTGGATAATGTGGGTTTTGGGTATTATCCTGTATGCAGTGTTCTTCCTTTAAACTGGACAGTAGGGATGGTGGGTGTATTGGCAGGCACAGTTGAGGATTCATTGATTGTGTGAGCCCTCTATCTATATACATACATTTTCTTCGACTCTACTATTTATTTGATTAATTATTTATATACAAATATATTTGGTTTTTTCATTTGTTAAAAGCTTGTTTAGTTCGCTGGATGACAATTGACAATATTGCATTGCATGCAGCTACGCAGCCATTAGCGGAGACTCACAAAAAACATCGGATTCGGAGATGAAGAATAACAAGAAGCCGAATCCTACAAAGGTACGAAATCTATCTACAGGTCTGCATTCAATTTCATGCCGGTATGGGCCCAATAGGACGGATATCCATCCCCGGGCCGCCCTCGTTATTTAAAAAGTAGAAGGTTTTGATGGGCCAATCTCAATTTAAATAATCGTGGGCTTCAGAGTTCTGGCCCACACGAACTGTACCTGGAAGAAGTCTAGGGCATGAAACTGAAATCTTCCAATCACGTAAACTAGCTGTGATTTCTTGTTGTGCATGCATGTTGCATGGGAATTGGAATCTCCCTCCCACTCTCTCAGCCAAAACTGTATCTTCCACTGCTGGAATCAACAAGTTCAGTCACGAATATTAAACTGGCAAGATATAAAGAGGTCAGTATCAGACGTGTACGTAAATTTGTTTTTCGGGACGACTTTGTAACTAACAATGACTTGTGCTGTTGGATGTTTCGCTGGATTGATGAATGGAACAGTGGTTCAATGATTGCACGGAGGAGATCAGGGAGTGCTGTTCCCACGCGCTGGATCTCCTCTCACAGAAATACGGGTGGAAGACGGTGGAGGTGATCATACCGGAGATAGAAACGATGCGGTTGGCACATTACGTAACGATAGGATCGGAATGCAGTACCGCGCTTGGCCCTCACCTACACAACTCCAAGTAATTAATTAATTATGTACTTGCTTGACTTAATTACATGCATGAATGTGCCCTAATTCGAAATTGAACGAAGCAAAAAAAAATCATCGTGTATATGAATGGTGCAGGAATGTGGGAAAGATGGGGTGGGATGTGAGGGTGGGCCTCTCTGTTTATGGCGCTTTCAGCAGTAAAGAGTACATCCAGGCTCAAAGGCTAAGGTATTTAATTTGAAATATATTCATCATTAACTGTCAGCTCAATTAGTTACATTATTTCCATCTAATTAAGTAATGCATGGTGCAGGAACCGGCAACTAGAGATCCACAGGAAGGTGTTTGCAATGGCGGATGTGATCGTTTCACCAACCACAGGGTATTCTTCTTCTTCTTCATCATCTTCATCTAATCTAATGTTGGTTTTCATCTGGAAAACTGTAGGCTTATTTAGTTGGTGACTAATGATGGTAGAATTGAATATGGGTGGTTGCAATGCAGTGAAAATCGCGCTTTGAAACTTAAAAAACTTACGATTTTACGTTTCCAGATCACTAAAACGCTTATTCCAGGTTTTACAACTTATTTAGTTAAAAACTCCGCTTTAAAACTTAAAAAAAAAACTTATAAATTTTACGCTTCTAGATCACCAAAACGTTTCTACGTAGAAACGCGCGCGCATTTGACTGCTTTGGGGTGGGTTGTTTTGTATAGAGTGACAGCTTATCCAATATTGAACGACTGCCTCAAGACTGGCGAACTAGATTACGTCAATGGAGGTACGCGAAGCCCATACATAGCATGCACCTACTAATTAATATTCTTTGCCCACCATAATTAGTTGGTTCGTTCTTCGTTTCAGCTGCACTTGTTCGGTACCAAATAGCTGGGAATTTCTTGGGATTACCTGCAATTACTGTCCCTGTAAGTCGGCTTATATATTCATTTCCTCCTGATCATGTTAATTGCCATGTATATCTCATCGATTTGATCCATGAATTCATGTTGTTTCATGGCGTGGTGCGGTTGCAGGTGGGATATGATAAGAAAGGGCTGCCAATTGGGCTTCAGTTCATAGGTCAGCCATGGTCCGAACCCACTCTCCTCCACATTGCATTCGCCATGCAGGTCTGCTCATCACTCTCTCACATTCCTGTTTCTCAGAATTGGTTGATTACAGCTGATGGTGTCGTTTTATTCTTTCATCACAGGGCCTGTGCAACCAAGGATACAAAAAGCCAGAGGCTTTCTACGATTTGCTCCACAAATAGCTATACCATCAAGAACAAAGGGGGGAAACAATGGAGAGAAGTAATATATAAGCGCATGCAGATGCAGTTGGGTTGGGATGAAAGAAGAGGAAATGGCATGCTAGAACATCATTTCATTAGTAGTAGTAGTTCAGCGACAATCATGCACAAACGAGAAAATAATAAAAAGTGAAAAGCAGAGCTTAATCGGTAGTAATACATACAGAGTAGTACTGCAGCAGTGAGTGATCTGTCTCTGTGGATAGATTTTTCTTTCTTTCTCAAATAAAACTCGCGGCGGATTGTTCGAAAATGAAACCTTGTTCAGTGTATCCTCGCTTACTTGAGCTACAACACCAAATTAGCAAGGAAAGAAGAAGAAGAAGAAGAAGAATAAAGCTAATGTTTTTGCTCCTTTGATTCTCAATTATTGAGATATGATCATATGATGTGCATTATTTGGGATGCAGTAGAGTAGGGTATACAATGTCCGGCCGGCCGCGCCCTTGAGACAGAGTTTGGAATGGTAAAGTAGTGAAATGTACCCATTTCTTCTGCTTTTTTTGCTGCATATGGAAGCACAACGGTTGGATGATCATATTAGCTAGTGCCCATCTGCATCTGCTCATCATGTGAATGTTCTCTGCTTTTATCTTCTGTTGTCGCCTCGCCTGTGTACTTGTGTAGGTCATAGGTCGCCTAACCATTGACATCACATTCACATGCTCTCTCCTCTCTTTGCTTTCTAACCTCCTCAGTGACCTCCAACTCATGTTTCTCTGCCCACTCCCCACTTTCATTTTTTCTTCACCTGTTGTTGGATAACAGTCACATCAATCCCGACATCCAACAACTTTACACGACTTCTTTTTTCCAGTTTCCCATATCTTCATATACTAACTGAAAGTCTGAAACCATCACCATTAGCAGCAGAAGGTATTACTGCAGTAATTCTTTATGAAGGGGAAGATGACTTTACACATGGGAAAGAAGAAAAAACCAGAACTGGTGGCAATGCCAAAATGCCATCCCATTTTTTTGCTTTCTCGCTTTCGTTTTATTATTGTCATACCCACCAAATCCAATTCCAATTCCAATTCCAACATTTACATGCTTAACCTATTAACTCTGTATGTGCAATAACAAGCTGCAAATATCCAATGCCATGCAATCTCCATCTCACTCTCGAATTTTCACTACCCCGCAACCAACCAATCTCTGTTTCGTTATTCAGAATCCTGGACTGCACTACATAACTAGCAAGTCTTCTTCCATAGTTGCAAGAGATTTTAGCTGAAGACCAAGAGATGAGATTGTCTTCTTGCACTCTGCAAACTTAGCAGCTGCAGCTGCTAGCTCTCCCTCCTGTCATAAAACACCAAACAACATCAGTGTTTCTACCATAGATACCAGGAAACCATCCAAGTTAAAGATGGGAATGTAGTATTGAAGCAAATTCTGGGTGACACCAGGAAAAGTAGAGTGGGGGCTAAAATTGTTCACACAGTATATGGAACCAACTTGATTGAGGTTCTAGGTGAAGTGATCCAGCCTTCACGTGAGTCACTGATTACTATAAGACAATATGGGTTGGATAGAACAAGATATGTATCAGCTAAGAGTTGGCCCAAATGGACCAACCTATCAAGCCCTGCTTCCACAGTCCTGCTGGCAACCATCTCCAAAAAGGACTAGAGGACACATTTTATGAGTGGAAAAGCAGAGGCTCTGTTTTTCCATGATTGTATATCTAGTTCCACAAAAATTAGCTGTTCTGCTTGTGAAAACTGTAGATGCTGACCCAGTAGGTAAGCATTGGAGGGTTTGTCAAGAAAGAGACGACGTAACTCTTAGTTTGACTGCACGAAAATGTGCTAGGAGTGAAGATAACTAACCTGTTTTACCTTCAACTCTTCATTAAAACTTGTAATCCGCTTGAGTTCAGCTTTTTGAAGGAGATCAGATTCATGTCTCATTTCGCGAAGCTTGTTCTCCAAGTCAAGACACTTCTTTTCATTCTCAGATGCTGAAGAATGCTCCTTTTCAACCTCTGCTGTTAATGAATCAACTTTAGAAAGCAAGGTTCCAATCTCCTCCTCAGAAGTTCTAAGCTGTGACTCTGCAACTTCTTTCATCACCAGAACACCCTTAAGCTCCTCTTCTCTGGCTTTTGTTGTCTCATTCGAATGAGCTAACTCAGCTTGAAGTACCGAGAACTTCTCATTCACTTCCTTCAGCCGAGTTTCTAAGATGCCTAGCTGACTCTGGCACTCATTCAAAGCAAACTCCAACTTGACCTTTTCGCCTTCAACCTTCTCCAATTTTTCCTCTAGATCAGCAGTCTTCTGATTAATCACGGCCGCATGTTCAGCTCTCCATTGGCTCTCAATGCTGTTGCTTCGTTCTGATACAGGTCCTCCTGCCTCACGAAAAGAGCTCCCGCCACTGTCAGTGTCAGGCAAAGCAGCAAGTCTTTCCATCTCCAGAAAATCATCCATGAGATTGATCTCTGGAGAAGGCAACAGCATGAGCTGGTTTTTTCCAGTACTTTTCCGATTTTTGAAACCATCGGGCTCCCATGAACCTGAAGAACTTGGCTCGAGTTCATTCATTTCCAAGCCATTCACTTTCTGTGAGTCACACTCCACCATCTCTAGTAGCCTCTCACCACTATCCGACTGGCTGTCTTCGGTGAAGGACTCGACATAGATTGATGAAGCAGTAAAGGATCTGTTATGGACAGCAGGAAGCGAAGAAGGAGAAGCCTTTCGAGCCGCCATAGCCTTCATCCTGCGGCACTCAGCTTCAAGCCTAGCTACTTTCTTTATGGCATCCAAGTGCTGTTTGCTAGCAGTTTCAGCAGCTTGACAACTAAGGTCTCTTTCCATAATCTTCATCTCCAATTCCTCGGCTCGAGAGAGAAGCGTCAGCTTGAGGGAAGAGTTCTCTTTCTCCAAACTCTCCATCTTAGCTCGAAACTCGGCATCGAGTGACGATGTAGTAGCAGCTGCCTCACCCTTGGCAGCCTGAAGTTCATGTTGCAGTTGAGAGATCTGGGAATCGAGCTCGGACTTCGTGGACTCCCATTCACGAGTGGTGTTTGCAAGAGCCTCAGATATCTTTCGTTCTTGATCCTCTCTTGCTAAACGCAGTTGCCTCATGCATTCTTTGAGTGCTGCATCGAGATGACCAACTCGATCCTCGAGTCCAGTGTTCTTCTTAGTTGCATTCTCCAATTGCTGCTTTAGAGCAACCACTTCCTTCTCAGCTTTCTCCCAACCTTCAGGAAAAAGATCAGCTTTTTGGTTAATAAAACAGGATGCAAGCACTGTGGAAGTAATTCTATACGAGTAAAATTTAATGAAGAACATGTTTCAACAAATTGAAGCATATGATATGCCAAGCAACCAAGATGAACCCAATAAGCAGCCTCTTATACAAATCACATCCTTCATGCAATTAAATTATTTGTTTACTGACAACAAACCATTTTTTATGCAAATCAATATGTAATGTTCATTTTTCTGGTGGAAAAGTAGTTAATGGAAACATGATGCAGATATTCACATGTATTCAATCTGCAGATGCCTAAACACCCAAGAAATTGAATCAAAACCCATCAAACCCAATGCAAGGAAATTGAATATAATCTGTGTACATAAAACTAGGGATCCAAATCAAACTGAAGAATGGAGGAGAAGGAAGAAATGACAAACCAGAGACAGCCTCTTCAGCGACTTTGGCATGCTGAGTGACCAAATCGTCCTTGGCCCTGAGGTTGAGGAGAGCAGCAGAAAGTTTGTCTCTGAGCGTCTTGAGATCGCCATCATAATTATCCACTTGTTCATCAGGAACGTCCTCTAACGGCGATTGAGCAGGAGCAGCAGCAGCAGCAGCAGAAGAACGACGAGTGGGTGTTCGAGTTGGAGTTGACGAATACGATGCCTGTTTGTTTGGTGGGTGGTTGTTTGGCGTTTCCCGAATTTGGCAATTCAGCCATTATTATTATCATCCCAAAAATCGCCAACCAGAACAGCAGGAAAGAGGACAAAACAGAGAAAACGGAAGGATTGAGACAAAGCAATGGATAAAAACGGAAAAGATGCAAAGGGGTTTGTGGTGGTGGTGGTTACCTGATGATGATCATCGGAGAAGCGTTCAGAGAGCGACCCAAGCGAGCCGGCGTCAGAGAAATCTGGGGGCAGAGTTGGGGAGGACTTCCTTCTCCATAGCCAGCTCCGGCGCTCCATGTCCGACGATTCCGCCGCCGCTCATTGCATACTTGTTCATCCAAGATTTGTGGCAGAACCCTCTTCAGTTCTCAGGAAACCATACCAAGGAGGAGGAAAGGAAAGGGAGAATCCTTGCAATTGCGCCAAAACAGAGCAGGGTTTCGCTCCCAATCTTTTTGTGGGTGGATTTTGATGGTGATCGTTAGGAGCGGTCTTTTGCTTACAGATCACTCAGTCTGCCAACCGAATCGGCGACGTGAACAGGTGAACAAGAAACACCTGTCTCTCTGGTCTAAGGCTTTCGCTATCGGCGGAGGGGAGGAGAAGGGAAGGGGAAGGACTAAGTGCAAAGAAACTGTGGAAAGAATGGAGTCGTCAGTTACACAATGAATGGGAAGAAAAAAAAATTCCCTTTAAAAGTGAAGTGGAACCGCCATGGCCCTGCCCTGGCCTCCCTTTTCTCCCCCTATCCCCCGCCAGCAGGACCACTAACCTACACCTATCTACTGCTACACTTTGCAACAAAAATTTGAGCAAAAAAAATATATATATATATATATCTTCCCCGTCAATCAAAGTTAACGCATAAGAAATCAAGCACGTCTTAATCTGGCTGTTGCTGAATGAATAAATAAATGAGTAGATATACAGATATCAGAATGAAGGAATGTGTGGAATTTCCGGCAGCGGGACAAGTGTGACGGTGTGGGGGCAGATGGAGCAGTGTTCGTTGGTTGGTGAACGAAGCGGGACTTGGAGGTTCAGTCCAGACCATTCACTGCGACTGTTGATAATTAGGTGGAGACTGGAGAAGGCTGGAGTGCTGTGTTTCCGCTTTAGCTGTTTTTAGCAGGAAGGCTCACTCCACAAGCTAATTGTCGTCTTCTCTCCTTTAGGTGTGAATTTTTTTCAGTGCGGGATTGAGATGTCCAATTATTTGAAATATAATAACATGAAAAATATAATAACATGAAATATAATAACAGGAAAACTGTAGCGACAGTGAAGGCTAGTGAGTTGCATATCCCAGGTTTGAATCCAATCGAGGTCTGTTGGTGTTCTCGAAGATATAAGGTTGCTAGGGATGAAAGCCTGTTGGCGTTTAATTAATTGCAGGTGGCCCACGGATTTAGTAGGTCTTGCTGTCACAAATTGGCACGTGTGGTTGTGGTTCCTAGCTAATAAAAAAACCATTAAAGAGATCTTGTGTCATTTTATGACACAATTAGGATTTTCAGAGCACATATATGATTTTAACGATGAATATACATACATCGTTTATATATTTATGAGAATATTGACCAATAACTAGCAGTAGTGTTAATTAACAGATTTAATCGCATCATCATAGCCACATCATGTTCTAGAGGTTGTGCACACCGAGCTTGGAGAGGAGAGTGGAGAAGAGGGCCGGTGGCAGGGCCTTGGTGAAGATGTCGGCCAATTGGTGTAGAGAGGAGACATGGAGAAGTTTGATTGTGCCATTTTGCAGCTTCTCCCTGACCAGGTGACAGTCCAACTCTATATGTTTTGTCCTTTCGTGAAAAGTAGGATTTTCGGCAATATGAACAGCTGATTGATTGTCGCAGTAAAGGACTGCTGGCTGGAGATGGGAAATCTGGAAATCACGAAGGAGGTAAAGCAGTGATTGAAGCTCACAAGTTGTGTCAGCCATCGCCCTGTATTCGGCTTCACATGATGACCTAGAAATTGTTTGCTGTTTCTTGCTTCGCCAGGAAATTAGGGCATTGCCGAGATAGACACAATATCCAGTCACTGAGCGGCGTGTGTCCAGACAGGAGGCCCAGTCGGAATCACTAAAGGACTTCAAGTGAAGAGTTGAATTGGATGGGTAGAAGAGGTCAGTTGATGGGGCAGATTTAAGGTACCTGAGAATTCTTGTGACTGCTTGATAATGTGAATTGCTGGGATTGGACATGTATTGAGCTACCTGTTGAGTAGCAAAACTGATGTCAGGGCGGGTAGTAGTCAAGTAGATGAGCTTGCCCACCAATCTTCTGTAGAAAGAGGGATCTGGGTAGGGATCAGAATGAGTAGATGATAGATGTTGCTTGTAATCCATAGGAGTAGAGACAGGCTTGGATAGTAGAACATCAGCTTCTTCCAATATCTCCAATGTATATTTCCTTTGTGATAAATGAATGCCAGAATGGTTTCTGGCAACTTCAATGCCAAGAAAGAATTTGAGTTGGCCCATATCTTTTATGCTGAAAGCTTGGTGAAGCACTAGCTTTAACTGATTGATTGCTGCTAAATCATTTCCTCCAACCAAAAGATCATCAACATAAACCAGAACACAAGTGTAAGAAGCACCAACTGATTTTGAGAAAAGGGAATGATCAACCTGACTGGGAACAAAACCTTGGTGAATAAGGCAATCTGCCAATTTAGCAAACCACTGTCTTGAAGCCTGTTTGAGGCCATAAAGAGACTTTTTGAGCCTTCGAACAAGATTGATGATGTTTGGTGGTGGTTTGTAACCCTTAGGAAGCTTCATATAGACCTCTTCTGTTAGATCTCCATGTATAAAGGCATTGTTCACATCTAGCTGGTGAACATGCCAAGATTTTGATGCAGCAATAGCCAGAAAAAGCCTAACTGTTGTCATCTTGACAACAGGGGCAAATGTATCTTGATAGTCTATCCCTTCTTATTGGTTATAGCCCTTTGCAACTAACTTGGCCTTCTCTCTTTCAAGTGAACCATCTAAGAGAAACTTGTACTTGAATATCCACTTGTTTCCAAGTGGTTTCCTCTGTGGGGGAAGGGATACCACATCCCATGTTTGATTCCTTTCAAGGGCATCAATCTCATGATTAATTGCCATGTTCCATTCTGGTTTGAGGGCAGCTTCCTCATAAGTTTCTAGTTCTTTGTGAGAAGAAATGTTTAAAAGGGGAATTCTGTTTCATGAAATTGGACATCTCTAGAGATGAAAGTCGCATGGGAGTGAAGGTCATATAACCTGTATCCTTTGATGCCTGATGGGTAGCCTATGAAAACACATTTTCTGGCTCTTTCTTGGAATTTGGTTCTGTGACTTTTCAGTGTGGATGCATAGCAAAGGCATCCAAACACTTTCAAATCCTGGAAGTCAGGTGGTTTGTTGAAGAGTTTTTGGTATGGAGTGAGGTTAGCTAGGACTGGTGTGGGGACTCAGTTTATGAGGAAGACTGCATGTTTGACACAGTCTCCCCAGCAAGGTTGTCAAACCGGTTTGTGCCAGTGTGCCGGTTTAGTAAGTGGAATGGTTCGACCGGTGGTACATACCGGTTTGTGCCGGTTCATGCCGGTTAATATTACAAATAATTTACAAATACTCATATCTAAGCACGACATTTAACGTCAATACCTAAATATTTGTACCTGAATCCAACAAATAACATCAACATTTAACTTTTTAACACATAAAATAAATAATAAATTACTTTTTATCAAATAAATTTACTAATATAAGATCATTTTACTTAGAGATTCGTATATCGATCATGCCGGTCATACCGGTGGTGTCATACCGGTTTTATGACCAGTACAGGTTGAACGCCGGTATGACACCACCGGCCGGCCGGCATGACAACCATGCTCCCCAGAAACCTATTGGGAGGTTGGCCTGAAACTTGAGGGCTCTTGCCACAGCTAGGATATGTTGGTGTTTGCGTTCCACTTTACTATTTTGCTGTGGTGTTTCCACACATGACATTTCATGTGTGATGCCAGATTCTGAATAGAATTCAGACATTTGGAATTCCTGTCCTTGGTCACTACGAATGGTTTGAACATTGGTTTTGAATTCGGTAGTGATCATGATACAGAACTGTTTAAGTTTGATTCTGGTTTCAGCTTTGGAAGTAAGAAGGATGATCCATGTCATCCTGGAATGATCATCAATGATGGTTAAAAAATATTTAAAACCATCATAAGTAGGAGATGAATAAGGGCCCCAGATGTCAACATGTATGAGCTGAAAGCAATGTGTAGTTACAGTGGAACTAGAAGGAAAAGGAAGTCGTTTCTGTTTTGCAAAATGGCATACATCACAAGGTAAGCTACTGTTAGTTTCTATGGATGTACAAAGTTGATTCAAAGGAGGAATTCGACTGTGGGAAACATGGCCAAGTCGAAAATGCCAGATGTCTAATGAAGGGGAACTAACTGCAGCAGTGATGTGATTAGGAATGTTGTTTAAAGATAGGTTGATGTGGTAAAGGCCTTGGGTGAGCTTAGCAGAACCAATCACTCTCTTCAGCTCCAGGTCCTGTATTGTGCAAGAATCAGATGAAAATGTGAGGGATAAAGGTTTGGTGGTTGTTAACTTGCTCACTGAGATTAGGTTAAATGTGAATTTGGGTACATAGAGGGCATCTTCAAGTACAAGGCCATTGAGGCAATGTACTTGACCAATGTGGGTTGCCTGAACTCTGTCACCAGTGGGCAAGTTTATGTATATATGGTGCACTTTGCGTGATGTATGAAGGAAAGTGAGAGAGCTGACTATATGGTCAGTTGCACCTATATCAAGGATCCATGGGGAAGTAGTAATGCTGTTTGGGAGAAGAGAACATGAGTGAGTACCTGATGATTCAGATTCATAATGAGTAGTCAAGGCAGCTGTGTGAGGAGGGTAGGATTGTTTCCCTTTGAGATTGTCATTCATCAGAGCCATCAGCCTCTCATAATCTGTCTTTGTGAGCTTGAATTCAGGTTGTGTATCTGATGGTTGAGTGCCATCAGCAGCATTGATCATGGTTCTTGGTCGAGCTTGAGGAGGTCTGGACTGAGATGAGGGAGGATAGCCATGTTTCTTGAAGCACCTGTCTTCAGTGTGGCCAATCCTCTTACAGAAAGTGCACTCAGGAGGCTTAGTTGAAGGATTGGAGCTTATAGTAGAACCTCTAGGAGATAAACCAGGTGGCCACCCATGTTTGTGGTAACATGTATCTTCAGTGTGGCCTGGATTGTTACAGAATGTGCAATGGGCGTTTGGATCCTTGAACAGAGAAGGCTGAACTCTCAGCAGTGATAGTTTTGCCTTGTTGGGTGCCATAGAGTTGGCGTTCATGTTGCAAAGCACGCTGAAAAACCCTATCAATGGGTGGTAGAGTATCTCCAAATAGTACTTGGGAATGAACAATATCATAGTTGTCATTAAGACCTCGAAGAAATTGAATAACAGAGTTGACATCACGATAACCAAGCACAACATTCATAGAAGCACAATCTGCATTACTTGTTGCTGTGCAACGACAGGGATTGATAGGTTGATAGTTGTCTAGCTCGTCTTGCAATGCTATGAGATTACCATAGTATTCAGTCACAGTTTGGTTACCTTGTTTGATCGTTCCAATGGATTCGATTAACTCAGCAACGCGAATCATATCTCCTTGACCATAACGAGCCTTGAGGCTATTCCCGGCTTCAGAAACAAGTTTTGAAGACATGATTGTCTTCTTGATACCATGTTCAACAGCTTGTTGGATCCAGCTGAGAACCATGATATTGTTGCGACTCCAGAAAGAAAACAGAGCATCAGTGGGAGGCTGGGAGCTGGGGGAAGAATGGTACCATTGATAAAGCCAAGCTTGTTCTTGACGGCCAGAGCATTGAGCATTGCTTTGCTTCAATCATTGTAATTGGTGGTGGTCAGCTTCTCACCTACCAGAAGAAGTCCAGGTTGTTCAGAACCATGGAGATAAAAGGGATCCGCTGTGGGATCTGGGAGTGGGTTGGCAGCCATTGTTGAGCGGCGGCTAGGGTTTCTCTGATACCATAACAACAGGTATGTTTGGAAACCCTAACTTAACTTTTCTCATTGATTCAATTGATCTTACATACAAGGATCGTGCATTACAAGACAAGGAGTTCTAGCTGTAACTCAGCAGAGAAGAAGTACAGTGAGGCAGAGTAGGAGGGAACAGAGTTTGAGCAAAGGAAAGAGACGTTGTGTCTCCAGACACAACGACGACGTTTCTTCCTCTTGTCTTGGATGTCTGTTACGGCGGCGTATTGGTCATCTGTGAAGTGGTTCCCTATGACGACGCCGTTCCAATTGAAATGTTGCTTGACTTCCCGAAGACGACGTCGCTCCATCGAGTTGCTTTGGTGGCCGTTGGAGAGGCGGATAAATTTTTTGAATTTTACTCTGATAAGAAGAGTGACGACGGCTTGAAGAAATCATTGACGGTGCAATTTTGAAGATCCGGCTCTCTATCTCCCTCGCGGTTTTGCAGATCAATGCCTCATTCTATGGATCGTCCACATGCAACAAATCCATATCCCTCTTTCGTCTATCTCGTCGGCGATCTGAACAATCCCGACACAGACACATGCGAAAGCAATGAGGGAGGGAAGAAGAAACACACGACCTATGACGACGATGAGGGTAAATCGAGGCCCTCTGTCCCTCACTCGTCTCCCAGCCGGCCAACGCCGAATCGACACTTCCTCTTCCCCAGTCGCCAGCGACGAGTCGTCTCCTTCCTTCACCGCTCTAGCTTTCCCTTCTTTGTTTTCTCTCCTTTGCGCTATGGGAGCCGTCGGAGTCGTTGGAAGAGATGTCGGAGTTGCCAAAGCCGTCAGGGCTATTGCTCTGCCTCGAGATTTTTCCAGTCGCCAAGAGGAGATGAAACATTACCGGAACGGTAATCGTTACCGGCAAGTCGATAGTCGGTACACCGGAAATTACGTGGTACCCATTGTCGGCAACAGATTTGAGCATCGGTGGTATATCGAAAATTGGTCAATCGGTAACTGGTTATACCGATACCGACCTATTACCAAGCCTAACAAATAGGGTCTGCAAATGAGCCAAGCTACTCGTGAGCAACTCGAGGCTCAAATCGGGAAAAACTCATTCGAAACTCGATTCGTTTACTGACGAGCCAAGTTTTACCTTAGGTTTGTTCAGCTCGCGAGCTAGCTCGACTCGGTGGCTTGTTGAGCTCAACTCGTGAGTTGGTTCATTTAGAGCTCATGAGATGTCTCAACATTGTGGTTTGAGGGCCAACTTGATCACCGACTTATGGACTACTCGATCTAATTTGGACTTTTATAATTCATAGGATTGTTAAATTATATATCCTGCATCATGGGAAGTTTAACATGTTGAACATGTAAGAAAACATGCTTTATTTTGAATTCTATAAAGAAATTATGTACAAAATTGTTTCGATACTATGAAATAACATGATTTGGACTAGTTAAAATTTATTAACTAAACTATATGACACCTACAAATTATAATATAAGATTAATTAATGTTGAACATTTGATTATATTTTATCGTTACATCAATCACATGTACCATACACGACATACAAAATGAATATATCAAATACAATCTAAGAATTTAGTAAACAAGCTTAGCTCGAACTCGACTCGACTCGTTAATAAATGGCTCGGACTCAAGCTCAACTCATTTATTAACGAGTCAAGCTCAAATTGGGGTAAAACTCGGTTCAACTCAGCTCATTTGCAGCGCTACTAACAAATGTATAGGATATGGAAAAGGATGGAATTGTATTTGTTATAAAAGAAAAAGAAAATAAGTTGAGATAAATTAATATTGATCATATCATTCGAATTAGGCCTGAAAATTGGCCCGACCCGCCCCTGACCCTGTCTGATCCGCCCCTGAAGGGTCAAGATGTATAACTGACCTGCCCCGACCCTGTTTCTTTCATGACCCTGTCTGACCCTTTAAGGTCGGGGCGGGTCAGGAAAGGGTCGGGTCAGTGGGTCGACCCTAATAAATAGACTACTTTTCTAAAAATTACAATTTGGTACCCGAATTTTATTTTTTCTTACATTTTAGTACCTAAATTTTATTTTTTTACAAATAAGTCCCTAAAATTTGATGGTAAAATTACGTTTTGGTACCCAAAATTTTTAATTTTTACAATTTAGTACCTAAACTTTTAAAATTTTACAAATAGGTCCAACATGTTTGTATAATGCTAAGGCTCATAGGGTCAAAAAGTGACCTGACCCTAAATTGACCCGACCCTATCTGACCCTGACCCGACCCTAAATTGACCCTATAGACAAACTGACCCAGCCCGATCCTGGGGGTTGGGGCGGATCAGGACGGGTCAGTGGGTTTTAAGGGTCAAACTTACACTCCAACGTGGAACAACGGTGGCGTAATTCGTGCCCCTTTGATGTTGGGATGTCACGGCCCCACCCTGTTATTTCTTGGTATCATAATCCAACCGCCGTTGGTAGCTCTGCCACCGTGCCACTCCCTAAGTGGCTCGCCATATTTTCCCGTATGTATATTTCCCAAAAGAAATCGACCTCAACTAATTTCGTTTCCTTCCAATCTTGGACGTCTTAACTCTTACGTTCTTCCTATCACCACGATAGAAACTAGAAAGTGAAACGGCACTCACTGGCAACATACGTCCAAACGAAAGACTGCTGTACTAGGAAGGATTACGATTTCCGAATCTCCCCACTACCACCCCAAAAATCATATATAATATAATATTCCCACTTAATTCTAACCCACGTAAGCTTTTACCTGCAACAACTTCCAGTTGCCCAAAGGCAAACCCAAACCCTATATCTGGGATGCCGTTGCTTTTGTTTTGCTTTCTCTATCCGTTTTACTTCTATTTACAGCCTTCACAGCCAACGCATGTTCGGAGTCATGAACGCGTCATTACATTACACCGGGAGGGGAGGGGAGGGAATCTATCACCGTATAATTAATTACACCAATGGGATACGGTGCAGAGTCTACGTACATCAATACGTACGTGACATATACATGCATACAAAGTACACACAAAAAGAAGAGAAACATATGAGTTCAGAGGGAATGCAGGTGTTTTGCTCTCTGAATTGCTTGCTGCACCCTCGTCGATGGCTCCTCGTACAGAAAGGCAGGGTTGTCAAACTCCGACGCCTTGCTCTTGTCCCCCAACAGCGCCCGGAACGTGTCCGCCACCGAATGCGAGAGGGACTCGAGGTTGTAACCACCTTCCAAGAAGAACACGCACCGTCCACCGCACAGATCCTTGGCCAGCTGCTTGATGTTCGCAGCTAGAGAGTAGTAGGTCGCTGTTGTGTATTGTAGGCTCGCAAGTGGGTCCAGTACATGCCCGTCGTAACTGCCAACACCAAACCAGGGCGATTGTTTTAACGATCTTTAGAGGGCGGCTTCAGGTACTACTAACTAGCAGTAATTACCAACTAACTCACCCTGCAGAGACAAGGATTATATCTGGCTTGAACCTTTGGGCACATGGTACAATGACTTCATCGAACGCAGTCCTCATTGCAATGTCGCCTGATCCCCCAGGTAGAGGCAGATTCAGAGTTGTTCCTTCACCCCCACCAACCCCTACCTCTTCAAATTTACCAGTACCGGGGTAGCTTCCATTCTGAAATAATACAAATGGTGATTTAGATGGTCATCTAAAAAATGCTCATTGTAATTGGATCAAAGAGGAGAAAGAGAAAAAAATATCACCACAAATCAATGGTGCATAACAAATGAAACCAAATGGTATGCTTACCTGGTGAGTAGACAAGAAGAATACATCGGGATCATCATAGAACATGTCATGTGTGCCATTCCCATGGTGGACATCAAAATCAATGATAAATACCCTCTTCAATCCATGTTGCCGCTGTGCGTGGCGAGCTGCAATCGCCACATTACCGAAGACGCAAAAGCCCATGGGTCCCTTTTGGACTGCATGATGCCCTGGAGGTCTTATCAACGCAAACCCTGTTGGCGGATTCTGACTGTGCTTTGATGCTTCAACCTAATACAAATTCTGTTGATCACTATAGCAGCAAACTCTATGCTCTTGATATCATGCAGTATGCATAAGTAAATTGAAGCTAGAGGCTATCATTATACATATCAAGTCCATGTGAAAGGTCGTGACTTTACCACTGAATCAACCAATGCTAGTCCAGATCCAGCTGCCATGAGTGAGTCCTGGAAGGTCTGCATTGATCAGGAAATTTAAGGAAAAGTCTAAGTTACTGAAGCTCTATACTCTGGATAGTATGATTCAATACATGGCTCCTATGGATCCGGCCAGAGTGGGATAAACCCAATCATAGGCTAAAAGTCTAGAGAAGAGACCTTAAATAAATAAATAAAACCGAAAAAGGAACCCTTTGAAGATAGCCCACTTACCATCTGAGTAGCATAGGTTGGACCAGTATTCTCAATCAAAATTATGCCTTGCTGTGAAGCTTCATCCATAGCCTAACAAACAGTGACAGACAAGCTGGTGAGGCTGGCCAAGCACAAGCAGACAGAGAAGGAATAGAAGAACCAGAATAGGAAGGCAACATAGATTTGAACACTCAAAACAACAATGAATCATATTTGAGGCATTGTAGAACCAAAAATAAAGTTAAGGAATATTGAAAATTCTCATTATGGTGAAAGTTCTTCATAAAATCACACTAGTACCAAGACGAGGAATGTCGGAATGGAAAGCATATAAAACAATGTTGCAGGTCAAGGGACTACCTTTTCGAGGCCTGTGACATATGCCTTACTGTGAACATTTGCAATGTCATCTACTGAAGCAGGTTTGAAGTTTGTAAGCTCAATGATCTCTGAACCACGAAACTGACATTTACAATTACAAAACAATCAATTTGCAAATTCTAGTAAAGCTTCAATCAAGTATGCAGAACTTTTGATTCTCCACAAATTAACATATGTAGAAATTCAATCACATTTGTCATCAGTGAAAGAATGGTCCAAAACACATACACAAGTTCGCGTTTTATGTACAACTTTATCAATCTTCAGCAAAGCCAGTTAACAAGACATGAAATAAAGCCAAAAACCAGAAGAAAGCCCCCTCTGGATGTTTCTTCCAAAATCTCTCTGTTTACCTAACATTCTAAGAAGTTTTCTGAAGTTGATTTGAAGAAAACAATTATAGTGAAAGAAAAGAAATGAAAGAGGTTTTTTATTTTTCCGTTTTAAGTTTTTATACATTACAAGCATGTATGGTGCATGCCAACAACTGTTTCGGAATAACGCGACTCGTTCTTCCCTAAAGACATCTCATGCAGAACATTTAGGTCTTTTAGAGGCATTTTCTCTGCACCAAAAAAATTAGGTGCTATTAACACTATACCAACACCAAGACTGCCAGGTCACCTGCCTGTTGGCCATACTTGACTTGGTAAAACCAAAAAGGAAACTCATGATTCAGGTACAAACAGAAAAACTTGAGAAGAAAGATCAAGCAAGTACAAGGTGAGTAGAAGCATAAGAAATTCAATCTTAACAAGGAGTATCAAGAACAAACTACAGACCACAAATAATAATATGATGTTAGGTGATGCTCAATACCTTTGGAGTAAGTTCCATCTTTTCAAGAGCAGTCACGATTGCAGGAACTCTAAAATGGGATTCTGGATGTGCCTCCTGCCAAGAAAGTAACCAAAGAGCACAGTAAAAATTACCAAACCATGATAGCATAAGCGAAACAGAAGAACATAATCAACTTAGTAAATGAAGAACACCGTTGTTTGCAATGATTGACGCCATTTTCAAGGAATTGCAATTATTCGGTCTAAAACCGAACCTTTTTCTAGCTCGTTCAATTGAAAGGATTGATGGATGAATGAAAACTATGAAACTTTCTGTCAATCAGTCTTATATCCAATGACAAGGAATACATCAATATGCATTTGCTTGCTTTCCATTGTTCATCGGTTTGCTTTCACTCCTAATTTGTAATTTGAACATTCCTGGACCAGAACTTCACAGCCATATCCCCTAAACTCCGGAAGATCAGTGACCAGAATCTCCAGTTGAACTTAGATGCAGTGATCATTAAGCTAAGCAAATTCTTCACAGTACAGTTGTATAGAACTCTCGCAGCTTGAAACAGTTGATATAGTAGAAAAAACGAAGAGACGGAACATCCAAAGTATCAAATGGCGTAGAAAGAGAATTTCAGCCAGAGCTACCTTGGTACCTGGTTATGGCCCATGGCAGGAGCCACGCTGTAAATAACTCGCGCATCGGTCAAATTCTGAATTGGAATCGGTTCAGGTTGCTTCTCCAAATCGATTGAACAAGAAACACAACAAACGCCAGCTCTAGTTGTACTCCCGCGCCATCTTGAGTACTTGCGGAAACATTTAAGCCCTACAGATTGAGTGCCGAAATCAGAGAGCTTCTGGCTTCCATTTCGGACACTTGAAGCTGTAGGAGTACCGTGTACGGTTCGGAAGTTACCTGAGAAGGAAGAAAGCCGCAAAGCTTGAACCTCCATTAACGCCTCAAAAGGTTCTGCTCGATGGCTTCCAGCCTGAAGGAGGAGGAGAACTGAAGAAGGGAGTGTTCGCCTGACTGATAACGCATTGCATGCCTCAGAAAATAAAATTAAATCTAAAGAAATAATTGAAAGCAAGCGGGGAAGTGGGAGGGCACTATTGGAAATTCGGAAGGTAGGTTCAGGGGTAAATACGTCCAATCCGAATACAAAGAGGAGAAGGCTAGGGTTCAAGCGAATGCGTGACATATAAATACGTTTCATATCTTCGCCGAAGGTAAAGCAGTCACAGAATTCAGCAGCCTCTCTAGAAATCTCGATCGAAGCGGAACAATGGGAGTTTTCACTTTCGTGTGCAAGAGCTCCGGCGACGAATGGTGCGGCAAGCAGCTCTCCGGTGATCTGGAGGCATCGGCGGGTTCCACCTTCGACCTGCAGAGGAAGCTCGTTCAGGATGTCCTCGCCACCGATTCCTCCGGCGGAGTTCGATCCTCGTTCTCCCTCATCTCTCCCAGCTCTGCCGTTTTCCAGGTCCGTTCGCTTACACGTTTATCTCCCACGTATGTCCTTCTTGCGGTTCCATAATCTCTAGATTCGGGGACTGATCCAATGTAATCGTGTTTCAGGTGATCGTCGGTGGCGCGGTCGGAGGCGGAGGGTTCGCCAGCAGCGGTGGTGGCGGCGGCGGTGCAGGAGCACCTGCAGCAGCCGCAGCGGCACCTGCAGCAGAGGAGAAGAAGAAGGAAGAGGAGAAGGAGGAGAGTGACGATGATATGGGTTTCTCGCTCTTCGATTAGGTTTTCTTCGTTCACTATTTGTCGGCTTTAGTCGTGTTTTCACTTTCAGTAGCTATGGATGGATTTCGGTGTTTCCGCAATGCAACTGTTTAGAAGGGAAGTATTGGATACTGTGAATTTTGAGAATGGCCGAAGTTTAAGTTTGACAGTTTTTCGATCTTGATGATAATACTTCAGTGTGCTTTAGCATTAGCTGTGTTCTTGAATCAATGCTTGCTTTAATTGATCAGCAAAGAACTTGGGACAGGGTCCTCCATCGTTTTAATGGTTATATGCATCTCTCAGTATGATTATCTAGGATAGGGAATTGAAGTTTCCTCTCTGCATTGTGTAAATAGTTCCATGATCGTAGCTAAACCCTTCTGGATGATGGTTTACAAAGCAATGGCAATTAGGTTTTGATGAAAATCGTTCTGCTCGTCATGAGTGTTCACCTTAGCCAGGACGTTTGTGGGTTGTCAAGTGTTGGTATGTTGTTTGTTTGATCCAAGAAGACTTGGCGCTCACCTTTTGTTTCTGTTTGGATCTTCGTCCCCGATTTGCAACGATTAAGAACGTTGGTTTCTCTTGCCACATGATTTAGAGCGTTGTTCTATTGTTTTCGCTGCACTTGTTATTGTGAGTTTGTTTGACAGTATGAGTTACTTCTTAAGGTTATACGTTCCATAATGGTGTTACTCAATGTTGGTTAGAAAGCATCTTCATCTCTTTTGTTCAATCTCAAACTGGGTTACTTGATGAACAAGGTCGAAAGAGGAGATTATATGGATGAGGACTCGATGACATTGTTTAGTTAACTTATAGTCGGTTAACCAACACTCTGTGCGCTTTCTTACTGTTAACCATGTTTGATGTGCATTGCCACCTGCTTGTATGGTCATGATGTGATCTTCAAGCGCCATAAAGGCTTGGGCTATGCTGCTTCACATGCTAAAACAGGAAAGAGTGTTTCCATTGATGCTTGGCCCGTTGTGACAATTCGGGTGATCTCCTGTATCCTAACCAACTTAGCCTATTGATGATTGATTAGGGCAAGGATTGGTGTGGCATTTGCAAGTAACTTGGTTTGTTCCTCTCTTGACAATGATGGAAGATTAGTTGGATTTGTCGAGTTAGTAGAGAGAAATAGGTAGATTGTCACAAGTCAAACAATTTAAGTAATAAAATAAGAAAAGATATGTACTTATATCAAACGAGCGCCTGTAGCTCAGTGGATAGAGCGTCTGTTTCCTAAGCAGAAGGTCGAAGGTTCGACCCCTTCCTGGCGCGAGCATTTTTGTTTTTCTGTTGTTTAGTCTGCCAATTTGGAGTTATGCTATGGAGTTTCTGTTACTGTGCGACGAATGACGATGAATTTACATAAATGATATTTTCCTCTTAAGAGCAAATTCACAGTACCGACATTTTTTCCTCAGACAGGAGTTTAACGACCAGAGTTCAACAAAACCTTCGACCATCAATCACCGTCCTGAACAGCTGAACAACAACCTAGGTAAACAAAGAGAAATCCTAGATTCATAGAACGCAAAAGTTCAGAAGATACTGTTATCTCCACCAGAAACCACCTTGAAGGAGCCACAGAAAGAAGGACGTGAAGAAAGTTTCGCCGAAGTTCCAGCAAATATGATTGAATGATTAAGAACTTCCTATAAACTCCTCCACCATGCGTCAGAAAGCATTGCCCCAACCCGTTAACAGTGGAAGGATTAAGTTCAGTGGCCAAGGAATTCATACATCTCAAACTTCGACCTCTTCAGAGGGAAGGAAGGACAACCAAGAAATGTCACACAGAGAGCAGATCGTTTAAGCAAAACAAGATAATCAGAAGCAGAGACGAATAATCTACACCGGGAGTTAATTCATGACAGCTAGCTCCATGTAATAATCAACAATATAAACTATCGTTTTCCTCCCCACAAAAAACTGGAAGGTCATGTGACCTGCAAACCCACAGACCAACATGGTGATTTGTTGCTTGCTAATAAGAACAGACTGCGCCATCCGTAGCCATCGCGCGCATAGCTTAGGACTCTTAATGGAAAATCTGTTTTTCCACTAGCTGCAGATTAACCATACACGTTGGAGTCAATTTGCTGAATGTTTGGAAAAATCTGCTTCAATGTAGAACAGTAGTCAGAAGACTTTGCCTGCAATCACAAGCAACAACAAAAATTGAGAAACTAGGACGTGTAAAGAGAGAGAGGAGAAAACAAATAAGATCACAGTGTTTAATCGCCGCAGCAGGAGTCTCGAAGAATGCATAAAAAAGATGTTGCTACAGCCTTGAAACGAAAGGAGGAATTCAGTAATGGAATGGCCACTTCTCTTTGATATTTGACGAATATATATGATCAATGACATGTAGCTAGGAAAGAGAGCACATTCTTGATTCTTGAAATAATAATAAAGAGACTGCAAAAGGAGGGATTAACGATGGTACTTTCAGACAGCAAACAGGAGATGCATCCTATATGGACTAATCAAACGAGATCAACAGTCTGCCAATCAGGACTAAAGGTTGTACGTCTGTAACAATCTTATATTAGAACAAAAGAAGCAGACAGCAGCTTGGAGCTTGACTTGGCAAATATAACGCATTATCACCCGACAACAAGCAATGTGAAAGGCAGACAACCAAAAATTCGGACCAAACACTGTAATGGGGAATCTGAAGGCATATGGTATTATGTAACAGTAAGGGTGTTTCAACTGCTTTATAGTGGTTGGAAATCTTACACATGGATTGTTTGCCAGGTAGATTGTGGTCAGTTTCTCTCTCGAGCCAGCAACAGCATCAGAAATGCTTCCAAGAGACTCGATTCTGTTGTCATTGAGCCATAGATCTTCTAGCCTGCAGAATAAAATCAAAGTAAGCAACTCCTGCCAGCTCTCAATATTAAGAAGAACATGATTCAGTTAAGAAGAATGTATTCCACACATACTTAGGCAGATTCTGAATGTCATCAACAGAAGTGAGCTTGTTAGACGATACATCAAGTACACGGAGATTAACCAAGGTTGATAGGCCTTCCATTTTCTCAATACCATTATGGCTCAAGTACAGTTCCTCTAATGCAACACAGCCCTGCAAATAGGGGTAAAAATTGGTTAAAAGGGAAACCTAAATTCTCGGTTTCCATTAGTAACACCCCACAAGCTTGTTCATATTATAAAACCAGAGAAATATTCTTCCTTTTCAGCTAAATTACCTCAAACCCCGTCATGGAAGTCAAACGATTGCTCTGCAAACTTATCTTCTTGATGCATTTCAATCCACAAAGGTTAACCTGTTTGATACGATTCCTTCCAAGCCATAACTCCTCCAAGTTTGTCAGCTTTTCAATATTCTCCATTACCTGAAATATGCAGTGAAGGTTTAGAGGATAGGAGACCTTAGACAACACATTCGTTCATTTCCCTACTGTAATTAAATGGTTCATACAGTAATCGATCTCTGAAACAAGGAACAATGAAATGAAGCATGATGGAAGCATAGAACCACTCAAACCAAATATGAAAAGTGACTGACCCTCAGTCGGTTAGAACCAAGTTCAAGAATTCGCAACTGAAAGAGATGATCAATCTCCTCCATCTTAGGAACCTCATTTTTGGAGACGTAGAGCTCCCTAAGCGTAGAAGAGACCTTGGACAATCCTTGCGCAGAATTGATCTCATTGAACGATACGTCGAAAACCAAGAGCTTCTTGAATATGGCAACGTCAGGGATCTTGCCGAGCTTATTGTCTCTGAGCACTAGTTCCTGAAAATTTAATTAATTGATCAAATCAAGTTAATCAATAGCGGGAGACCCAATCAAATCAAAATTACTCAATGGACTAAGAAGACGAAGGAAGGGTTTTGCCTCGAGTCCGGAGAGGAGGTCCCAATTGGAGAGGGGCTCGACGGCGGCGTCGTCGATGAGGTTCTGACGGAGAGAGAGCTTGGTGAGGTTAGAGAGGTGGGCGATCCTGGGGTCCAAGCTGGACAAGCGATTGGCCGTGAGGTCTAATTCGGTGAGCGTCGGCGGCAGCTCGACGGAGGTGAGATCGTGGAGCTGGAAGCTGGTTAGGTCGACCATGGTAGCCGAAGACTGATCACCATCCATCTCCTCCGCCGCTCCGTCGGTGGGAGGAGGATTCTTCGGAGTTTGGTCATCCATGGAAGAAGGATTCGCGTCAGCCGGAGGCGGTGACAATATTCCGTCGAGGACGGGAAACGACTGTATCTGTGTATGTTTGTGTCTAGAGGTTAATCCTAGATAATAACCTCTGCCCTCTCCCGAGCATCTTTTAAGGTAAAATACTAAAAATTTAATGTGCTATCAGTAGTTACGGAGATGACTAGGCAGTAAGGACTAGGGATGGCAATGGGGCGGGTTTCTCTAAACCATCCTCATTCTCATCTTCAAATATCCAAACTCATACCCGCCTCATACTCATGCGGGGGAATATTTGGCAAATCCATCCCCATACCCGTGGGTTTCGGGTACTCATGGGTAATATCCGTACCCGTACATCCAACATTAATATCCTAAAATTTACAAGAAAAGTTTTAACTACAACTCTAAACGTACCTATTATATCACGAATTCAACAAAACACGATCATTTTCTTAATACAGTTCAAAGAATATGATTCTAAAACATTCGTTAATACATAAAAATAATAATAATATAGAGTATAATATTTTTCAAATTATTATGTTCTAACTCTGAGACATCTACTAAGAAATAATTAACTAACATAATCTTGTTGACAAGGGAGAAAGTGAATGAGAGAAAGGAGAATTGAGGGAAATGAATTAGGTTTTGATTAAGGTGGTCACTCAATTGCATTTCTACTATTTATTTCCTCGAGTTATCCTCATCATCATTGATAGATTACAATTTGATCTACATATTTTTGTATATGTGAAGAAATTCTCTTGGTAGGGCGGATATGAGTATGGGGCGGGGGAGGCTAAAATCATACCCGCCCCATACCCATCAAACTTTTTGCGGGTTTTACCCATACCCGCCCCATACCTGGTCAAAGCGGGGATTATCCGCATTGACTGGGTCGGGGCGGTCGGATACCCGCGGCCATGGGTTTGATTGCCATCCCTAGTAGGGACCCGGGTCAATAACCAAAATGTTCACTTGAGCACGGGTTTATGCATTTAGTAAGTGGTTTGGTTCGATTATTGTACATCTAGTTTGTGCTAGTTTATGTTCATTTTAGCTAAACATGTAGGAAAGTGAGAAATCATTAACACTAAATGAAATGAATTTAGTGATATATACCACATGTTTGAAGACAACCTCTCTAAAATCTAGATCTATATTTAAATAAAATACAAGATTCAAAACAAAATATAAAGTGTAAACCCATCATATTTAATACATGTAATACCAAATCTAAAAGTTTATACATGATGTGACAAATAACATAAACATTTTAATATACGGTACTTGAATTCAATAAATAACATCAACATTTAACTTTCAAATTCAAGAAATAAAACGAAAAATTATTTTTATCAATTAAATTAACCAAGATGACATCATTTTGTTTGAAAGTCAGAAAATCGCTCTCGCCAGTCATACCAAAGACATTCCAATCGGTTTCGCAATAGATAAAATTGCTTGAACTCAAATTTTGTTGTACCGACCAGCATGTGTCAACAGCGCGACAACGATGCAGCAGGGAGGTGACATGAGTTGAAATAAATAAGGAGTGAGTTTGCTTGGCGTACTTGCATTTATGTGTTTCCAAATGCGGAAACGAGCTCGCAAATTGGTCATTAGCTGTAAAATGATTTAAATCCACATGCCATCACGGAGGTCCAGCCTTAAGTCCAGAATGTGATTTTGTAAGTGCAAATAAATACACACAGACTAAGTGGTTACACACACAAAGCCAAAGAAACCAACGAAGCTAATTATATACATATCACTCTTTGCGATTCTTCAACATTCGTCTAAAAGCTTTATTCTTTCAAGAGATACGTATGTAACATTCAAGCTGACATACTATTTACCTCGCTCTGTACATCACCTCCAACATTGTTCTCTAATTTGGTCTTCGTCGTCAAAAGAGTTATTGTGAAGTCCTCGCTCTTACTCGTTTCCAGGCTGCCACCATCGTCCTTGCCCTCTTCCTCGTCTGTACTCTCCGTCGTTCTCTGCTCTTCAATGATGATTTGTGGTGGCGACCCACTCTCAGCAGCATCCGGCTTCTCTTGTGGTGGTGGTAGTGGCGGTGACTTGCTAGCATCTACGCGTGCACTGCTAGCCTTCTTCGATTTGCTGACTAGATGGTGTAACCACAACAGGAGTTCAAGAATGTAGGTTTCTGTTTTCTCCTTGTCCGCATGATGGAGGGACTCTATCCTAATGAAGTCATTATTGCCAGATACAGACCTCCGGCTACCTTCAGATCTGCACACAAACCCACAAACCGATCATTTTGATGATACGATGTCTTTTACTGTTAGGTAGATTTTCCTCCATCTACAATTATAGAAGATATGAAAGGTAGAGGTACTAGAACTCACGCTGAATTCGCCCATTCTCCAACCCAACCAAATCCGTGATGGTCTCTGTTTAAAATTTGAAGCAAAAAAGAACGGGGAAGCAGAATCATGAGCAAAGCTAGAGATGGAACAGTTAGCAAAATCACTGGAAATGTGCTCTTTCTTTTACTTGGCTGTGTTGGTGGACATGGGAACAAGCCAGGCTAGAGTTTTCTCCATCTCATCTTTGATCCCAATGATGCTTATCTGTTGGACAACAAAACACAATAAGTAGAAACAATATAGTGAGCTAGGAACAAAACAAGGTTCATGTCTAGCAACTTTAGTGATGTAGAGGTAAGTCGCCTCCCACTATCTTCTTCCGGACTCCATTTTCTTACTAAGATTCCTGTTGAGTGCAGCTTTCTCAACGATTATTGGGTTCGATGTTGAAACAACTTATATGATAAAAGCCGGGAAAAGCATAGAGTAATACCTCTTCTTTCACTTCAAATGACTGTAATCTGGAACGCAATGCGGATTTTATATTCGGTGGAAGACTCTGGTACAATCCATGTCTTGCAGTTGGAAGCAAATTACTTGGTTGTGCGACCTTTAAGATATTAAACTAACCAGTCAAAATCCACAATACTATCCGAAGACGTGTACATTCCGACAGCCATGAAGAAATTCTCAACAAAGTAGTTTATTCTAAATCCTTAGAGTTTACAGAGGATACTAGCACGAAACAAGTGCTTTTCCACTTTAATTTTTGGTTGAAGTTGGAGAACGGAATTGATTTATCCTGAATAAGAACCAAGGCCTCAAATACAAAGCATTAACATAAACAATGTCAATGTTAAGAACAGGAAAAATGCTTACAATATCATCGATCTGTAGAACTACATTTGCATAATGCAAGGACAGGCCAACAGGTCCCAGTCTCTGATGACAGCTTGCAGATGCCTCGACGAGAGCACTACTATCTGCAGTATGTATATAGACATATCATCAGTAGAGTCCCAGTGGATATTAAGGCAGCATTCAGAGATGCCTATCCAAATGCAGTACTACACACAATACAAAAAGGCAAAAAGAGCCAGGTCCTCATTTACTGTATCCTCAATTATCAAACTTGAAGGTGTTAACATCTCCAAGATATGTAAGTTATGGATAAATATAACTCAAGTAACAGAATACTGCATACAGATACACCTCTAGTGATTTTGAACATGATTGATCATCGAATACCATAAACTTAGGGAGGTTTGAGAATTGTCATATGCTTCACCAGATTGATAACTAAGACTAATATCTTGTAAGCAACACTGTTCTATCAGGCATACCTTCTCTGCCAAAGGTGTCATCAATCTCCATGAGCAAAAAACGAACAACATCTACAAGCTTCCCAGTCACCTATGAGAGAATGAGCAGTCACTTAAACATATAATTCTAACATTAGATTGCAAATATGTGTTTATCATTTGGTTTAAACCTGTTCGCTAATCAGTACATGCTTGCAGTAACAGAATTGGTGAGACGTGGCATTTACTAAGAAATAATAAAAGCTAGTGAAAGAAAAGATGGGGGGCAAGGGTAAAAGGATAAAAACTTAAATGAAGAGAATAAAAAGAGGGGAAAGAAAGGAAGCAAAACTCAGGTAGCACCTCTTCCAAACTTCTGGACCACAGTGATTTTTTCTTCAGGTTTCGTACTTCCTTCTTTTGGCTTTTCAATTCCGCCCTTAAGATTGCAGTGCCGTCACCTGCATTCCGGAGAAAGTAAATCAATAATAAGATTTTACTAACATTAAGTGTTTCATTAGTTCGTCTTAAGTCTTAACTGATGTATTTGTTGAGTAACAAACAGAACATGGCCAATCTAAAGTTATATCAAACAATGTCCATAGAATATTTATCATTCCCATCAGCAAAGTTTTCAGGTAAACAGCGTGCGCCAGGAACAAGGCCACTCATGTCAGGGTTTCATAAGAACATGGTTATCTTTTAATAACAGGTTCATGGTGTGATTACTGGAATCAACATTCAGCTCCCAAGGCAACCCTACTATGTATAAAATTCACATTTAACAACCAACTACAATTTTCCAGCTGTAGGAAAATAACTGGTTCTTTTGTCTGCATACCATATCTGCCACACTTCAGTACCAATACCCATATTTTCTTACTACTAACATGGAACATAAACACAAGATATGCAACATTATGAGTACCCATAATTACCTTTCTGGCCTTTTCCTGGCTTGTCATCCTCGCTAAGTTTACGCTGATACTCTTGGTCAAGTTTGTCCAGCAGTTGCAATTCTTGGTATAATTCCTGGAAACAGACACGATTAGGAGTGAAAACATCTCGGTCATTTGTCGGTACAATTTCAATTACTATGAATGTGACATTGTTGCATGTACATATACATGAACCATACACAAAAACTTCATCAGCACTGTTTATCTTTCAGAGAATAAGGCTTTCTAACATATCTTTTTAACCTAATCAAACCATAGAATCGCAGAAGAGGAAACAAAAAAGGTGACACTCCACATACTGCTGTATTTTGAACCAAAATCATCAAAACCTCCATCACTGATTCTGCCTCGTCTTGTAACTGCCTTTGAGGAGCAAACTCTTTGCTAATTCTGGAAAGGAACAACGACCCAACATCACAGTCAATGCAGTGTGCAGTTGAAAAGGGTAAATCCAATAGCCAGAGAAAACTCTATTACTTTTCAAAATATCGATCCAAGTTGTGCCATTGAGGATCTTTACACCGGTTCCCAAAACGAAACACTTCACAAGAGAAAACCTTCAACTCATCCCTGCAAACACAGGCTGATCATTACTTTCTAGGTTCAAACAGAGGACAAATTAAACTATAGCCAGAGTCAACCTAACAATGAAAACAGTTTTCACTGCTTCAACCATTAGATGTTTGTAGTACTAACTAACCTCTTGTCAGCTGCAAAAATTCTCAAGAGTTCATCTGTATTGACTGACACTAGATTCTGAACCCCTTCTGAAGGGAGCAATTCCTTTAACCGCTTGATATTCCTTTTGGAAAGGGATTGCATAAGGTTAAAGCCCTTGACGATCGTGTTCGCGACCTCGAAAGCTAAGATTTCAAGTTCATTCCCTTTAGTTGTCGCGGCGAAAGCGAATCCGCCTTTAGGGTTCAAATTCGTCATGCTACTCCCAAGAGTGTCCAATACCTCCACTGCTTTTCCTAGCCCAACTGAACCAACTCTGCCCAGTCGTGAACTGACCTCTGAAACCTACAAACTCCCAACCGCCTCAAAGACGTCAATCGATTCGCTCCTATCAGACTTGGCTAATTCTCATCTCCATCGATGCATCATCTCATTCCTTTTGCGGCAAGTCAAATTGAGGGAAATATGAAACTTACTGAAACTGAGAACTTACTGAGGAATACTGACCTTGGAAACAGCTCCTTGCCTAGACCGAGTGGATTTCGACCGCGAAGAAGAGTAAAGCGGAATACCGTCGTAAAATTCATCCGTTGAATTATTAGCAGGACTGGAATATGGAAATGACTGCTTCTGGAGTTCCTCGCTCCGCTGTGGCTTCCCTCCCAGCTCATTCTGCTTCGATTTACTCCCGTGGTCTAATTCGCCGGCGCCGCTGTCTCCTCCGGCGCGGATACGCTGGTCGTTGCTGTTGTAGCGATGACGGCCGTTCTGCGGAAGATGACCGTTGGAATTGAGAACCCGCGGCGCCTTGCCGTTCTTGGAACTACGGCCTCCCATCGGAAGCAAGAAGAGATGGCTTACAGAGAGCGACAGATGAAAGAACAGAAACGAATGAAATGAAGAAGAAGAAGTTGAAGAAGGTGCAGAGAGGAATCGGAGAATAGGAGAGAGAATGGGTTGGTCAAAAAAGTCGTCGCGTCGGTAGACGGTAGTCCGGCGCGAAAGAAAAAGAATATCCAAAAAATCGAAATGATTGATTTATGCCCATTTTGGGCTTTTGGCCCATCAATTATGCGCAGTGGGCGTCTTGCCGTTCTTTGACCGGAAATCAGACCGTATAACCCGGTCAAAACTGTGAGTCTGTGACCTTTCCACCGCAATCTAATTTGGTTTCCAGTTCTAGAAGAAGGCTATAAAATTGTCCTTGTCCGATTCGATTCCTAATCGGAAAACTGAATCCGGCTTGCAAACCATTAATAAACAAAGTAACACATAAAATACAGAGCTGGCAAGCAAAAAGTCTGAATTATGCTGGGAGACTTGTGTTGATCCAATCTGCACTTTTTTTTTTTTTTTTGGCATAGATCGGGAATGAAATAGATATTACAGGACGCTAGAAAACCAGACGCGACAGTCGACACAATATCGAGCTGTCGATGAAAGGGCATTAGAAGCCACTAAGTGGGCAGCCCTGTTGTACAACCTCTGCGTAAAAGTACAAATAAAGAAATTAAAAGACACAGACGCCAAACAAATCTCTTCCAAGATCGCTCCACTTGTCGCATGCGCCACAACACGAGATTGAATCATAAAGGATGGAAACTTGAATGGTCAAGGGAAAACTACGTACCCCTGCAAAAACAAACAAACACACAAGCGCCCATAGAGGAGGACAACTAAGCTCCACCGAATGGACTTAGGCAAGCCATTGAGGCTTAGTCGGAAACTCCGAATCAGAAGCTAACAAGGACAAAAGAAAAACATTTTTTATTACTTACTTCTTCCCTTTTTTTTTTTTTTACTTAAAAGTTAATGAAAAGCTTATAAAAACGAGCAGATAAAGAAGGAAAAAAAAGTATAGAATTATAAATCTGGAAATAAATAAATATTAAATTAGAGAGGAAAGAGAAAGAAAAAGCGTATCTGAAACGGATCGCAGTTGGAATAGCCTCTGAATTTGTAACCGACGCTCTGGAATTGTAACCGTCGGACCATCAAGCGTTCACTGGTGGGGCGAGGTTGAGATCCAGATCCAGATCCAGAACTTCCCGCCGCTTGCCGGTTGCCTTGCAATCTAAAACCACCGACGACAACGAATCCGTCTCGCTCTGCTCCCCCTCGTCGCACCGGCTGTAGGTATCGACGGCCAAGGGTGGGAGCTCTGGCTTCACAATTCCGTCAAAAAACCACAGCAGAGTCACAGCGCACTGCGGCGGCGGCGGCTGATTCACCTGGAAAACGAAAGGAAACCTGCCGACAAACCCAGCATCAGCGCCGCCGACAACAGGAGGAGGAGGGAGAGGGCGGAAGAAATCCAACTGGCGCGGCACCACAGGTGGCCCGGACGATTCGACGGTGCTGCTCTGGCTGGGGCTCTGCCTGTTCTCCAGGCCATCAACCGCCTTGGGAGCCGGGATATCGTTGGGGATGGGTGGTCTTGGCCTTGCAGCCGCATTATCATTGAGTAACCGAAAATATTGATTATGAAACTCTTCAATCTGCACTTTATTTATGGTGTTTCACAGTATTGGATGGCAGTATTTATTCTTCCTCCAGCATTGACTAGAGCTATTGAGAAACTCCGTACTGACTTCCTTTGGGGGTGCAATATGGGAAAAGGATGAAAGTTGTGGTTGCTTGGGAAAAGCTTACTTATCCTAAGAAGGAAGGGGAATTGGGATCGCGTGATACGAAAATGTGGAATCTGACTTGTGTTGTTTGACATATTTTGGAATTATGAATGCAGCAGGGGATCGTTATGGGTTGTTTGGATATATATGTATAAGCTCAAAGAGAATGATTTGTGGAGCTATTATGGAAAAGCAATGTCGAGGAATTGGTTAAAAGTATTGAAGCTGCGGAGTCTCAAGCAATCTCAATTTAGTAAATGTGGAGGGGAAGTAAGTAGTATGGAATGGGAGTCATATGTCTGTCTTTGAGATTCAAAGTGTATGGGAGTATCTTTGTCCAAAGCAAGCTAAGGTAGGTTGGCACTCTTTTTTTTTTTTTTGACAAAGGGCATAGATTTTCATTACTTGTGGCAGAAGCCATCGGTTACAACAGCGGAGCAATAATATCAAATACATGAATCCATTCCGATGGAAGCTGTTTTTTTGCACACGAACGCGCTACCCAATTCGCTTTGGAATTTCTTTTCCTGTTGGTGTAGTCGAACCGAATGCCAGGGTGGCTGGATGCAAGGTTCTTGATGTGGTTGATCCAAGTTGCTGCTCGCCATGGCCAGATATCTTTACTGTTGGCAAGAGCCTTAATGAGGGAGAGGCAATCAGAAAGAATCAGGCAAGGTGCTGCCAGTGAAGCCGCCATGCGCGCTCCCTCCCAAAGGGCCTTTGCTTCTGCTTCAAGTGGTGAAAAGCAATGCAGAGTCTCAGCCTTCCCGTCACAAACCTGTCCGTGGCAATTCGTCACAACGATGCCAAAAGCCGCCTCCTGTGAATCACTGAAAAATGATCCGTCACAGTGTATCTCAAAGTCATGAGTACTTGGCGGTGGAGAGGGAAGATCAAGGGGTGGATTGTGCTGAGTTTGAAGGGGAAGATCTCCAATCTTCCTGGGGCAGTTACTCCATTGGTGATGTGCATTCTGTGCTCTGGCTGTCGTGGTGGGTGGCCAAGGGAGAATACCTGAGAAAATACGTTCATTCTTGGTCTTCCAAGTCTGCCACATCTGAAAAATGATTCGCTGGATCGAGAGACTTGAAAGACGAGATTGTAAGGAGAACAGCTAGTCCAACATGTTGGTGAGTGGAGGAGGGAGACTCAGTCCAGGCCACTCGCAAACCCACCCAGTTTCTGCGTGTGGGCATGAGAAAAGGCAGTGGTGTAATGATTCAGATGGACAGTTGCAGAGGGCACATGCTTTGGTGGGAGAGCATTTCCTCGCAAACAGGTTCTCTTTCGAGGCCATAGCATTCTTTGCACATCTCCATACGAAGAATTTCATCTTTGGAGGGAGAGACAAGCTCCACAGCCATTTCCATTTTTCTTTTGTTGCTTCCGGGAAAGGGTTAATATCTCCTTGGCATCTGCGCGATTGATTGTGAATGAGGTGAAAAGCAGATTTTACCGAGAAGTTACCTTATTCAGAAAATCTCCATGCCCAGAAATCAGCCATTGTAGCAGGTCCAATAGGTGTGCCAGCTGTAATGAGGAGGTTTTGAGGGTCGAGGAAATTCCCCAAGAGATCGAACTTCCATTCTCTTGTGATAGCATCAATGAACATGTCAGCCGTTGATGAGTCATTAAGTCTGCCAGGGGTGAGGGGACCTGGTCGATCAAAGCTCCAGGGATCCTGGAACATTTTCGTTGTTTCCCCATTCCCGATTACTCGAATCACTCCCTTCTCCATCCAGTTCTTCGCTTCCCAGAGGCTTGCCCAGATCCAAGATGCTTTGCTTCCCTTTTTTGCTGACAGGAAGTTCGTTCTTGGGAAGTATATGCTTTTTAGCACTTTCACCCACAGAGCATTCGAGCAGGTAAGGGCACGCCATGCTTGCTTTGCAAGAAGGGTCAGGTTAAAGATGCGAAAAGGTCTGAACCCCAACCCCCCTTCCTCTTTTTGTGCATAAAGGACATGTCCCGCTCTCCAGTGTATCGATCGCTTGGAGATGTTCCCTCCCCAGAAGAAATTTCTAAGCATGGAGTCCATTTTGTTGGTGGCTGAGCGTGGAAGAAGGAAAAGGCACATAATGTATGAAGGTAGTGCTTGGAAAACAGCCTTAAGGAGTGTTTCTTTACCTCCTGGTGACAAAAGCAGACTCTTCCAGGATTCTCCTTTGCTTTCCATTCTTTGAATGATGAAGTGAAAAGTTTCCTTTTTTGATCTTCCCCATTCAGTAGGGACGCCAAGGTAGCTTGAGTGACAGTTCGACTCCGCAAATCCAACCATCTGAATGATTCTTTCTTTTTCATCATCTGGCACATTGCGACTGAAGAAGAAGGAGGATTTCTCTCTATTAACCTCCTGTCCTGTTAACGATCCATAGTCGTTGAGGATTCCCAGGATCTTCTCTGCTTCAGAGGTTGAAGCTTCGCCAAAGATGACTGTGTCATCGGCAAAAAGGAAATGTGATAGGGTAGGGCAGGATTTATTCAGTTTTAGCCCTCGGATATCTCCTTTTTGTACTGCTTTTTCAATCAGGAACGAAAGGGCATTGAACATCAGGATGAAGAGGAGAGGGGAGAGGGGATCACCTTGTCGAATGCCCCTAGTTGGGGTGAACTCCTCTGAGGGTCTACCATTGAACAATATTCTGAATTTCACTGAGTCAATACAGGTTCTGACCCATCCACACCAATTGTCATTAAAGCCATAGGCTTTCAGTAGCTCAATGAGGAAATCCCATTCCACCAGGTCATAGGCCTTCCTCATGTTAAGTTTCATCATCATGTTCTTATCATGTCCTTCCTTATGTTTCTTGAAGTGGTTTAGGACTTCATGTACAATAACAATGTTATCTTGAATCTGTCTCCCCCCTGTAAATGCTGATTGAAGCTCATTCACAAGGTTTGGCAGGTGAGTTTGCAGTCTATTGGACAGGATCTTTGTTATTACCTTGTAACGGAAGTTACAACAACTTATTGGTCTGAACTGACCAATGGTTTCAGGAGCTCCAACTTTAGGGATCAGAGTGATAAAAGTGTCATTCCAATTTGGTGGCATGATACTGGAGCTGAAGAAGTTGCTGATTTCCCCACATAACTTATCCCCCACAATGTGCCAATATTGCAGAAAGAAATGTCCTAGAAAACCATCAGGGCCTGGTGCTTTGTTAGCATCAAGCTTAAAAACTGCTTTACGTATTTCAGCCTTCTCAATACTGGCATTTAAGAGCCTATTGTCTTCCCGCGAAACCAACGCCGGGAACTCGTTCAGAAGGGAAGGGTCAAAGATTCCGTTTCTGCTTGAGAAAAGATTGGAGTAGAAGCTATTAACGTGCCCCTCAAGGTTCTGGTCAAGATTCAACCAGTTCCCTGAATCATCTTTCAGTTTGTCGATGCGATTCCTGGTTCTTCGTTTGATTGTGCTAGCATGAAAGAATCCAGTGTTCTGATCT